CTCTTCTGCCCTTGCATTAAAGCAAACTCGCTTCGCCTGATTGAGAGCACAAGACGCAAACCGTCTTTCAACTTCCAATGTTGATGGTGTTCAGCATCACCTCCCTGGCACAGAGAAGCGAGATAAAGGTGCAGAATAACTCACCGAGAAATAAATCTCAAGGCAACTAACACAAACAAATATAAAACATATATGTACATATATATAACTGGGCACGGATTCTTCAGGAATTTGCGTTGAGTAAACTAGTAGCAAATACAAGTTACTAGCAGTAGCAATCACTATAAACTAGAATAAAATGGAAAACGTCACTTAAGTTACACTTTCACACGTTCAGTCGATCTCTCTCTGTTAAAAAATTATAGGTATGGGTTCAATTTGGGGCGTTGGGAGTTGAGCAGAAAATCTTAAGAACCATCTTTGCATGCGAGAGATACTGAGATCAATAAAGGAACTGACAAGGAAACATATATAATCTCGATAGCCAATGCAATACCGGGAACTAGACAATCCATCTCTCTATAATCTAAACTTACAGAATGCTGATACCAAGTGGCGGATGAAGCCTCACGGACATATCAACCGAAAGCCGGATTTCAGAAACATCTTCAACGGATATGATAACCTAGTCCAGCAAAGAAAGAAGGGCAGTTTAAGCTCAGAACGCCTACTCGGGCAATTCATAGTGCACAAGAGTTCCAGATGCTTTAACAGACTATCCTCGGTAATAGACTACATCCACGAAGAGGCTTATTCAATCAAAAAAACTTCAAATCAAGAAGTGCGATAAAACGAACATAGCTCGACGGTGGTGACGGACCATTAAATGAAATATACAATCCCAGCAGCAAAATTTAATTACATCACTGAATCCAAGTAGTTCAACGTAGAACCAGATACACAGGTTACAATCAATGACCCATATCTTGAGCAGGAGAAGTTAGTGAAATTCCTTAAGTTGAGTATCACTCCTTAGGAAAGGAAAAAGAACAACCCAATTCAAGGCACCATCCAATAAACGATATCAAAATGCCCAAGACCCTGATCAGCCACTTTAAGAACAACTGACACACATGCAAGTGAAGAGCACAAAAAGTTCCGCATTTCAAGAATCGCCCCCCTTAAGGCCGTCTTCCCATTTCCTCCACCTCCAAGGTAACTTCAGAAAAGCATCGAGCTGGAAAAAAACGAAACCGATGAACGAAGAGAAGCCCAAGTAATCACAAGATCATACCAAGAACGCGAACAGGCAAGCACGGCTGCTCCGAGAGATCAATTTCAAGAAACGGGCAAGAATCGAGACGAGCACCCGAAACTCAGACACCCACGAGCCCGCGTCTGTCCGAGACGGAGCGGCGCAATTCTAAACGGCACGAAAACGAGACAAAAGATCAAATGGGTACACGCGAAAAACGGAAAAGAAGACGAAGAAAATGGCCGTAACCGAACGAGAATCAATCGGCGGCGTTCCTGGCTCACCCCGGGTCGTCTTCTTCACAAATTTCTTCCCTTTCAGTTTCCTCGTTCCTGGTGATCGGAACACGAGGAAGGGCCAGTGAGCAAAGAATGCAATGAGGAAGAGAGAGAGGGAGAGGGAGAGAGAGGGTGCGGGGGAGAGGAGATTAAGGGGGTAGCTTGGCTTTGAGCAGTGTGATAATCTCCATTTCTCTCCAATAATCAAGAATGTTTTTCTCTCTCTCTAAATTTCTCTTTTCTTTTATCTTTCTTCCTCGGAGACTTTCGATTCCCGACGGTGGGATTGCGATTGGCATCATTTGTCCGATCCTCGGAGGCTTCTTTGGGCAACATTATCTAACTTTTTAAATGTCTTCCCAAACATGTTCGTCTCGAGCATTTCCCGAAATTAGCCGGTTGCAATGTCCCTTTTCACCTCGAGGATTAGAATCCTTTTCTCTTACTTCAAAAAGGCTCTTAGGCGTTCTTTGAATCCTTTAATTTTTCTCTTGTCGACATGGATCGTGATGCAGTTACGCATTGGAAAAGCAATCTTTTTTAAGGTACCGTCTTAGATCGGATTGTGTTACTATAAGTCGAGTTGTCGTAACGGGTCGCGTGCAATGTGGTTTACGACCGATATGAGACGTGATTCTGTTTGAATTCGCTATAATCTCTCGTGCGGTTTATCTCTACTTGAGTTATGGATGGCGCTCGGTTGGCATTAAATGCGAAACTCGATGGAAAATCGGTCGTGGTATCACTTCTGGTTTCTTTTAACATCAATTTTGGAAATGAAACTAAAAAGTCTCGATTGTGAAGACGTCCAAATCGTGATTTTATAAGTTCTTGGAGTTTCGATTTTTCTAAAGACGAATAGTCGAAAACATTACTTCCGCAAAATTTAAGTAAGTACTTTAAGACATTTGTCCGTCATTCCTTAAATATATCGTCACGTGTCTCACGATCTCATCACGGATCGTCTTTGATTATGTAAAATAACTAACTCATGAAATCACCTAATTAAATACAGTGTGACAAATAACACATTGAATGAATTTATGTACAATAAAACAAAATAATTAGCTAGCTATTTTGAAAAAATAAAGGCCTTTTGCTACATTCACATGTTGTAAATTGGTGGACAATTATTTTCTTTTTGGAAAAAGATAAATAAATAAAAAAATTCAAGGATGATTGGCTAGACTATTTAACGAGTTGAGTAACCAATACATTAATTTCAATAGCCGCATTTACGCATAATTTGTAAAATTAATTGGACAATGTACAAGTAATTCCCTTAAAAGGTACTTAATTTAGCTCGGGTCTCAATTTTGGCCCAAATTATTTTTGTCTAATATATAAAAACACAAACTTTAGCCAATACCCCAATTCTGACCCAATTTTCTTTTGTCTTGCAAAAAAGTATAAACTTTAGCTCATATCACAATTCTAGCTTGAAATTTTTCTATCTCATAAAAAAAACACCAACTTTAGGTTGGATTTCAATTCTGGCTCAAAATTTTTTTGTCTCGTAAAAAAAGCATAGACTTTCAATCGGATCCAAGTCTAACCAACGTCAAGCTTCCATTCAATGATACCCTTAAAAATTCGAAGTGCCATTTCACGTATACTTCGACAAAAACTTGATGGCGGCCAAAAAAAAAAGTTTGTGCTTATTTACGAGATAAAAAAAAAATTTGAGTCCAAATCGGGACTCGGGATAAAGTCGAAGCTTTTTAAGGGAATTGGGTGACAGAATGTTTAATTGCCGAATTTCTTTCGGTCGACATGAGCCATAGCAATTTAATAATGACCAGAGACTCATTTAGTCATATTTGTAAACACATAATCAGATTTTGATTTGAGTTCTTATGAAATTTCCATTTCCGCATGCATTAACAGCACAAAGACATGAATAGACTCCACTCCTGAAATTAGCTGTCTTTCTGTCTTAAATGGAAATAATTAGGAAATCATAAGCTAGAGGCATTAACATCTTGGATCTGTCCACTATGGCAAGTCACACCCCCCACATATATAAGAATTAAATGCAAAAAGGAAATTTGGGTAATGTGAATTTGCCTGTAAAGGTATGTTATTTGACATTTCCGGAAAAAAAAATAGATAAGTTCTTTTAAAAATATATATGCCATGCATAAACTATTTTTGCTTGTAAAGGTATGTTATCTGACATCTCCGGAAAAAAAAAGTAGATAAATTCTTTTCAAAATCCATACCGTAAATAAATTCAACTTTTAAATTTGGTATTTACTCCTCAGATGATTAAAACACCCTTATTTCATCTCAAACTCGATATAAAAAGAAAAGGTAATTGGGACATTACATATTATTAGTCGTTGTTATATACAAATTTGCTACTTTTGTGGAGAATATATTTTCATTTTTGGGATTTATATTCATATTTTCATGTTAAAATCATTCAAATTCATTTCGAATCGGGCTGTCCTTAGCTGATGGGAAAAAACTAGTTCTGTTTTTAATGGTCAGATATGCATGTTAATTAGTGGTTAATCTTGATAAACTATCCCTTTTGGCCCCAATTGACCTGGGCCAACTTGCCATATTAAATGCCGTATTACCCTTTTTTGTTTTTTTCTTGGATCAAGATCCTAATAATTGACAAGGTGAAATGGCTTTGTTAATGTACCCTCCATCTCCAATATCACAAACAAATCTCCTCAAAAGGGATTTGATGGCTGAAATTATGTTCCACAAATTACACTTTAGCCTCGTATTTATTAAGAAAAAGTAAAATTATGTTCAGTATGACCCCTTAAATTAGAGAAAAATTTTAATGATCCAACATGATGTATTATTATTATTATTTGTATGCATTGTACATATTTTCTCCTCAATGTGAGAAACTCCATGTACCTTTTGCTTTTGTCACATTATTTTTCATCCTTTGCGGTCTAGTTCAAAGGTGTTCCTTTTTTTTTTTTTTTAGCTTCCCTTCAAATTTTTGAAACGGGAAAACCGCTTGAAATTTGTATAGAATGCGAAATAAAATCTAATTAACTTGCTTGTTTCGAAAAGACCGACAACCGATAAAAATCGAGTTCATATACCGTATAAACAAAATTAGTCATTAACCGAAATGAAGCTCAAATGCAAGGACAATGCCGTCATCATAAATCTGACGTGCACGACCGATAGTTTTAAGTCACGCGATTAGATTTTGATTGCGTGTTAAATACAACCCTTTATTTTTAGACGCTTTCTATTACAATCCGAAATAACAAATATTCACAGATCGAGTTAGTTTTCGGACAACTTTTTAGTTTTTCACACATGGAAAAAACAAAAAAAAACAAAAGAGGAAAGTCCGGATGACGTGGCAACCGCGCGGCCGCGAGATCAGCCCACGAGCCGAGGAAAGTCAAAACCGAGCTCACGGGAACTCCGCTGCAATCGGCACCACCGAATCATTCCCGCCGTCCCGACAAAGACACTTCTCACACGTGCGCTACAAAAAACAAAAAGAAAAAGGTCGAAACTTTCCAAATCCAGTGCGCCTCTCTCTCTCTCTCCTTCCCTTCGTGTCTTCTTCTTCTCCTTCTCCTTCTCTCGCTCTCGATTTCCGAGGCCCGAAAAAGCAAGCACCGAACGCCCCGCGTCCTCCGACACTGTCGAGGGTAGCGAAGGAAGCAGCCATGGAATCGAGAAAGTTGGCAGCTTTGCTGTCGTCCCTCGTCTCCGAGATCATGCTGCTGCTGCTGCTCCTCTTCCCTTCCTCGGCACCCCTGGCCCTCGCCTCCAACCCCGGTTCTTTCTCCTCCCGCGGCTTCGATTCGTTCGCCGGCCTCTTCCCCCTCATCGCCCATTTCCTGTCCCACCACGAGATCGCCGCCGCCTGCTTGTCCCCGCCGCGGCCCGTCTCGAGGAAGAGGAGGAGGACCCATTTCCCTGAACCGGACCACGGGCCCGGTGGCGGGGGCGAAACGTCGGACGGCGGCTCCGGCTCGGAGCTCGGCGGCGGCGGCGGCGGCCCGGCTCGGAGTCCCGACTCGTTCGTGGGCTCTTTCAAGATGACGGCCTCCACCTTCGAGTGGCTCGCGGGCCTGCTCGAGCCGTTGCTGGATTGCCGCGACCCGGTCGGGTCGCCGCTGAACCTGTCGCCGGAGCTCCGACTCGGGGTCGGGCTCTTCCGGCTGGCCACCGGCAGCGACCACTGCGACGTGGCTCGCCGGTTTGGGGTCTCAGTGTCGGCCTCTCGGTTCTGCACCAAGCAACTGTGCCGAGTCCTGTGCACCAATTTCCGGTTCTGGGCGGGTTTCCCGAGCCCGGGCGAGCTCGAATCCGTGTCGAGGGGGTTCGAGTCGCTGACTGGGTTGCCGAATTGCTGCGGTGTGATTGATTGTGCGAGATTTGAGATCGTTGCCGATTGCGGGCCTAATGATGCTATCGCGGCGCAAATCGTCGTTGACTCCACCTCGAGAATTCTGAGTGTCATTGCGGGATTTCGTGGTGATAAGGGCCGGTCACGAGTTCTCCGGCTATCTAGTTTGTTCAAAGACATCGAGGAAGAGAGGTTACTGAGTTCGCCTCCTCTGGATGTTAAGGGGGTCAATGCGAATCCGTATTTGGTTGGAGATGAAGGGTACCCTCTGCTTCCTTGGTTGATCGTGCCTTTCACTAATGCCACCACAGGATCATGCGAGGCTTATTTCAATGTAGCGCATAGTTTGATGCTTATGCCTGCCCTTAAAACTATTGTCAGTCTCAGGAACTGGGGTGTTTTAAGCAGGCCAATAAAAGAGGATTTTAGGACCTCAGTTGCTTACATTGGCGCCTGTTCGATTCTTCATAATGCCCTGCTAATGAGGGAGGACTATTCGGCATTGTGTAGTGAGTTAGGAGATAGTTCATTGCACGATCATCAGACACACCGTCTTCTGGATGCTGGTTGGGAGGTAAGTTCTGGAAAAGGTCGGGTTGTGCGAGATGCATTGGCCGCATTAGCGAAGGATTTCCACGACCAGAGTGACTCAGTGCATTTGTAGCTTGACAGAGAGATCTGATCGCGGCTGATTTTAGTGGGGTGGGATCATTTCGGGTTTGGTCTTTTTCCCCACAATGGAGAGGTAAAGAAGGTTTATTTGGTGAATTTCCCCGGATTCTTTGATTTAGATTTAGCAGCATTTACTCTTTTAGAGACGATGATTTTGTCAGAGTACGAAACGAGGAGCTTTTTTCCAATTCAAACTGCAAATAAGGGTTTTTCTATGACGAAATTGTACATTAATGTTGGCCAAGAGCTGTTAGATGTGCAGCAGCATAGTGAGATTTTTCTTCCTACCGAGTATTCAAAAGGAAAAAAAAATGGCTTTCTTACCTTCGAACGATGCTTTGTTATATCGCTCTGCGGACAGAATGAATAGACTAGAGACTCTTCTTCCATGTGAACAGAAAGAGTGGCTTTGATTCCGATTTAATTATCAACTAACTGCAATTTACTCTGATATTTTTCTCAATTAACACTCCCATAAACTTGCGTGGAAAAGCAACCAGGACTTGCCCACTACCAGATAGATACTTGAACGCCGTATTGCCAAAACAGTTCAATGACGTTCCTATATGCTTCCCCGATCTATCTAATCTTGCATGTGACGCGTCTCTAATTTCCTCACCCTCAATGGTCCAGCAGTATGTTCTCGGTTGGTTTAAGGTTTGTGTTACATTGCAAACGCTGTTTTGGATCCAAATACGTGTATTCCCTTTTGGATTCACATATTGAGTGTAAAAATATCATAATCTGGAGGGACTATAAGATTCAGCACCGTGAATATGCATTTTTGTTGGAATGATATACGGTCAGATTCTGCCTGGGGGTTTCATAACTGCTGGAAATATTATTCTATGACTAGACTACCTGAAATTGCTAACTTTAGATATCCTTTAAGGATATAAACTGTAACGGAAGAAACATATCGATGGTGCGATACGTTTACTTAGGCATAAATCTAAATGCACTTGTTGAAATACAGGGAAGGGAGAACTATAGCATCCTTATTCCAAGCCAGAATTAGGAGTATGATCTTTAGAATGTATCGAGCATTATATAACCAACTAGATTGGGAATTTCTAGATTGCCTCTTGTTTTACAGCTTGCTTTACGTCCATTAATACCCGATCCTTTCTTGTAAGGACTTTTAGATGTTAGATGGTTACTTTTAGTTCAGCAATTATCCCATGGCTTGTTTTCCCCTCTGTTCTTGACGTTTGTTGTATATGCCCTGTCATCTGCATTGAGTACTGTTTTGTTTGGTAATATAGGATATTACCTATATTTGTGTTGCTCTCACCCTTTATCGTACTGCACTTTGTTATACGAGGGTAATTAGTTATTGAAGCAGAGTAATATGTAACACTTCCCTGTTTTGTCGATTGTTTTCTTTAACCAGTAAGTACATAAGTGAAAGGGCTACAATCTTCTTATGATGACCCGAGTCCAGAGGAATTGAAAAATACATATGTATAAGAAAACGAGGAAGATCTAAGTCAAAGAGACAACTAACTAATTTAGACATTGCACTATTTTCCCCTCTTTTCCTGTCCCTCATTGATTCCTTGAGTGTATTTGTAGTTGCAGCTGAAACCAGAATTAAAGTTGATCAATCTGATGATGGTCCATCACAGCATGTCATTGTGGTTTCTGCAAACACCATGATCAAGTCCGTCAGGAAAGAGCGAGTTGATTCAAAATCATTAAGCGAGAGCTAAGCAGTTGACTGGACAAGAGTGAGAAAACAGTCGTGATGCGTAATGAAATGGGACTGGATGCGGAATTGATTTATGCTGCCCGAATTGTTCAGGAGCGGCTCAGAAGACCTGTGCTGACGTTGGGAGAGGTATTCAGTTAAATAACTTTCTATAATTTGTGGCCATTAGGTTATGCTTGTACAAAAAGTTGGTTTATATACTTTTTCAGATCAGCATATCACCCATCACTAATATCTGTTGTGTATGGTCTTGGATGGGCAAGCTAATGCCAATAGGTGTGTGATAGAAAATAATCCAACAGGGGCTTTAGAAGTTAGAATAGTCGAAGGGGAGTAATAAGTAATGACAGGACAGATACGAGTCCCTATCTCCTGAATAAGCTCCTGTCACAATCCCCATGGAAACTTATATGCCTAGGTAAAGCCAGAAAGAATGAGTGAAGGAGATACACCAAAATAATGTATCTTATCTGTCCAATTATGATCTTGCAATCCTGTGAACCTTTTGAGGACCACTTGTACTGTTAATTTCCTGTTTAAGTTGTTGAGGATTTGAGTTGCTTGTGTTACCCGAAAACGAAGTAGGTTACACCTTCAGCTCTAGCTAGCATTTTTGTCTGCTTTCGGGCAAGGCCATGTCTTGAGCCTTGAAGCTCTTGTCCCAATTTCAAGGTATGTATTCCCGTTTGTTTAAAAACTTGTTTGAAACGTGATAAGGTGAAATGAATCGAGTAAGATGCATCTGTTTGCAACTTTGCCGGGATGCCGTGAAATCAATGACACGTTTTTCTTTTTCCTTCAGGATTCAGTAACATACTGCCTGGAGGGTGCGAAAACTGAATTAGCTTGCTCTCAAAGAAAGACTCTTTCTAGAGCTGACAGGAGGAAGCGCCCTCTATAGGTCATTTTCCGTTGTGGACGTGTAGCAGGAAAATCTCGGGTTAATGGTTTTTAGAGAGAAGTGGTAGTTCTACTGTTGGAATCTATTCTCGTCGGAAGCATGTGCTGAATCAAAGATTGTTGGTAACGCTTAATTCTTTATCGAGCGGAGCCTCTTCATCAACTGCGTCATGATTTCATTACTTGTCTAATGCTTATGTTGTTCTAGTTTTGCTGGTCTTCTCATGACCCCTCAACTGATGTTTTTGTGGTCTCCTCATGACCCCTCTCAACCGATGCAACAATTCAGTGGCCGTTTCCCGCTAGGATAACAATCGCAAAGACACGGTAGGAACGTGTTCCGAACTCTTGCCATGGTGTACGAGACAAATTCAGAATGTTGAACTGAAACGAAGAACGTGCAAGTTCAAATTCGACGCCTAGGTCACATAGTGATAGGATATTCCCTTGAGAATAGTTTATCTCCGGGAGAGAATGTAATTGGCTTCAGCAGACTTACTAGTCTTATGATGCGGACCCTCACAAACAAAATAAAAAGGTTGCAGTAGTAAATACCCAACTGTTGAAGCTTAAAATGGTTATGCGAACTCTGTCCGAAGCTTCACTAGAAAGTCGATCTGCACCACAACAAATGGGATAGGGCGTCCGACTTTTATGACCCGATTGACCGTGCGATGCTTAAGTTAGCCCAACCGTTTCACGGTTGGGGTGATCTCCGCTTTGCGGTCAAGAGTATACTATGTCGTTTTGGCCGTTGTACGCTATCTGTATAAAAAGATAACTCTATTTTCATGGGATAGGAAAACAAAAAAGGAAAAAAGATAGGGAGTGAGATGTATTGTTCAGAAAGAAAGAGTCGCAGAGAAAAAGAGTCTCCCATACACGAGTGCTCGGATTACTATTTATATAATACTATCGACGGATGGTCGGAATTTGTTGGACAATTAGCTGTCTATAGATGAAAAGTGGTGAAACGAAGTGACAAATGCCACGCATACTGTTTTAGGACCGATGCATGTCCACTCTTTCAAATAGTCTCAACACCGTCTGCCGGTGTTATATATACATGTTGGCACGATCACAACACATATCTAAGGGTCGATTAGTTAGTCAAAACCACCTTTATCACTGACCATTTACAGATTAGTCTATGGTCCCGTCTAGAATTTTGGCTGTTTTGAGAATCAAGCCGATCGCCGGACGGATTGCCGGACCATCTGGTGTTTTCCCCGGCGACATTCTGTTCCATGTTCTGTGCCTTTGGTCAAACGCTTGGCTTGATTTATCAGTAGGTGGATCAAATCTTATGCCAGTTCACTTTATCTGGCTCTCCAATCTCTCTCTCTCTCTCTCTCTCTCTCTGACTGATTCTTACAACGGATTATAAGTAATTTATGCTCCATGCTTAACAACCTTACTTGCCAACATGAGTAGGAAGACCAACTGCAAACGCGCTTGAAACTCATCTTTGCCAACTTAACATTTTTTTTAGGACTCCTCACCGTTGTCAACAATACAGAACAATGTATTCATTTAGGTGCCCGGCAGTAACATCTTGGACAGGCCACGCTGCTTCTTGCTGAATCTCCACGTCGAGAGGAACAAACTATTCAGTCTTGCAGGAGAAAAGTCAGATGAATTCGGTATGGTATGGATTAGTCAATGAGCAGCCATTCAATAGGGATGAAAGTCGCAAGAGATTTTCAAACTTCACCAAATTGTTAAGTCGGGTCTTGGAACTCTTTTCTTGTACTATTGAGTCCCTAAATTATGTGTTTTTTCTTTCTTTCTTTTTTTCAAGTTGGTCATTCCGTCAAGATTATGGACAGAAATGCTGACATGGCATCCTATGTGACATTTACGAAAGAATAATTTAAAAATAAAGAATGTTCCAGAAATAAAATAAATGTCAAAAGACCAAGGAAGAAAGGATAGACGGGGAGGAGGCGAGGTGCCGCCGGGGTTCTTGCCCGACGTCAATGGCTCCACGCGCGACCCTACCAAGCCACGGCTGGGGTCATGCGACCTTGACCAAGGTTAGATCCGGCTTGTGTTCTGCGACCTGGGCTAGATCTACTAGGATGACGCGACCTTACCAAGCGTGGCTCGACCTCCGAGATGTCAGGCAAGGCTCAACGGCCCTCTTGGGCGTGTGAGCGGTGCTGCTGCAGCTGCCCCCTAGAGCTTCCCTTTTTTCTTCTCTCTCGGGTTTTTTAATTTGTTTAATATTTTATCCGGTCAATAAAAGTCAATTACACATGAGCACCAACTTGTCCGGTCGGCACTGACGTGTCGAACCAGGTCAACATTTTCGTTTCTATTTTAACGGGACTCAATTTCTGGAAAAAACAAAAAACGAATTCAAGGATTGGATCGACTAATTTAGATAGTTTAGGGACCTGCTTAACATTTTATCCCCATTTATAAAGGTACAAAGAGATCGGATACCAATGTCACCATCATCTTGTTTCCTCTCTGCAAGGCACTCACCAAAAACTGGGGAGATCGTGGGGAAATAATAATGATATATAATTATAAAAACGAAATTGTTGACCAAAGCAAATATTATTCAGATCGCGAGTAATAATTATTGCAAAACCTGAAAATTTTTTCTCATATAACATATTGGTATCACGTTAACACGACCCTTACCAAAAATGTCTTTTTTCTTTTTATTAAGGTTAAACTTAAAAGTGAATTTCCCCACTTAAACCTTTTTCCTTCCTATGGAGAGACAAGTCGGCCTCAATGCTGGCATTAGGTAGGACAAAACTGGACCCTCACGCCATTATCCACTTCCTCACGCTTTCTTCAATCTTGCGTTAAATCACTTGAAGCGAACGCCAATTTTGTTCAAGCAGAAGAGGGGCAAGTACCCAAAGTGAGTCTTCATCAACTGGTCCAGACGACAGAGGATCGTTGTCCGGATCGCCCAATCACCACCGGATACACGGCGGAATATATCGGATCGCCTCGATGCATCAATGCTCGAATCTGTCGGCCGCTCGTAAGCGAACCTACTCGGCTCGAGATGTGTCGATGCGAACGCCACGACAGCAGACGTACTTAGAGAGCCGATGTCGAACTTATGAGCTTTATAATTATGGGCAAAGGGCAGTTTTCTTGGACCCATCTGCTCATTACATGGGAATTGCCAATGTTGTACAAGGCCGAAGGAGGAGGTGGCCACCAACCTAAATGGTGTGGGGCTCAAAACCAAACATGTCACCCTCCCTCACCAACTCCGCACCAAGTATCAACCTTCTGTTCCTGCACTCGCGTATGACCGATTCCACATTCTTTTTTGGCAGGCCCCCACCACGTTTCACCATATCTTGTTCCGCAATCATCCACCTCATTACACAGAATGTTTATATCAGAAAGCTCATCATTGGCCCTAGACTTTCCTCTCGGATTAGAGGAAAAACAAGGTTTTTGAAAACGAAATTTAGGTCGCTCGACTCCCTTTGATTGTCTCCTTTAATGATTATAAGTTTATAACCTTTGTTGGAGTAACTTCACCAAACCCAATGAGAATCTTTCTCTGGTAATGAAAAGAGAATAAACAAGTCCAAGATTAAGAGATCTGTAGAGCTCACCAACCCTGGACTTGGTACCTTTTGGCAGGCGGTCCAATACCCTCCAGACCGGTCGAAACCGGACCATCACTGTCCTTATATACGTTGTTGCATCATACCTGTTCATAGAACTTAGGTCAACTGCAACATTTCTTGATCCCAACATATTCCAATATTCCTAAGAACAGAGAGAGAGAGAGAGAGAGAGAGAGAGATTGAATCAATGGCCACCAATGCAGAGGAGACCCAGAACCAAGCCGGGAGGCACCAGGAGGTTGGCCACAAGTCTCTCCTTCAGAGCGATGCCCTATACCAGGTGAGTGCGAATCTTTATCGCTTTTGTTAGAATCAATGGATGATTCTTTCCCTTCTGTCTTATAGCTCGATCAAAAATTTCAACTTGATGTTTCGTGTCTCTGATCTTCAATCATTTTTCCTTTTGCAGTATATTTTGGAGACCAGTGTGTACCCAAGAGAGCCTGAGCCAATGAAGGAGCTCAGGGACATAACAGCAAAACATCCATGGTGAGTTCATATAAGATTCAGAAACAGAAACAGATCACACTGCATTAAATGCCCTGTCTGATTCACGAGTTTGTTTCCTGAGCTGAACACTCTTCGTTTCTTGGAATGAAAATTGAAAAAATAGGAACATAATGACAACTTCAGCAGACGAAGGACAGTTCTTGAACATGCTTCTCAAGCTCATCAACGCCAAGAACACCATGGAGATCGGTGTCTACACTGGCTACTCTCTCCTCGCCACCGCTCTTGCTATTCCTGATGATGGAAAGGTCGGTTCGATTTGTTCTTTTCCAAGTCAACTAAGTTTCTTCAATCTCAGACCAGAAGCTTTTCCCACACAATTCACGAACATTGAACCGCTTCGTCAAAAATGAAAGCGTATGGCTCTGAAAATATCGTGGTCATTGATTGTTTTGTGCAGATATTGGCCATGGACATTAACAGAGAGAACTATGAACTTGGCCTGCCGGTCATCCAAAAGGCCGGTGTTGCCCACAAGATTGACTTCAAAGAAGGCCCTGCCTTGCCTGTCCTTGATCAGTTGATCCAAGATGTGAGTACCCCTTCCTTTGAGCATCTCAGCTCCACGATTAATTATTATGTGCTTAAGAATCTTTGCTCCTAATGCATCTCGACTATTGGATCTAACACAAAAGTTATTCAATGCATAGCCCTCATATGCATCTGATGATAGAGATTCATCGAGAGCAATGTTCCTGGATCACCGAATAAATATCAATCCATCACTGTTCGTCCCACGTTTGCGTCCATGAAGATACCATTTAAATACACGGTGGTCATAACTCCTAGGAGATTCCTGAAATGTCGTCGCAAACCTTTTAGAAACAATTTGCCATTTCTACACCAAACACTATCTTTTGCAATGAGAGGACAAGATGATTTACTGGGGACAACAATCAATTAGTGATTAAAGTCCATAATCTGGTGGGGCATCATTTTTCCCTAAACCCATAGATCCATCTTAAGCACTCATAAGATATATATCGATGTTTTTACTGATAACATTGACTCTATTTGGTGGAGGAAAATGAACTTCATTGCAAAATTTATGGATGCCGTTAGGAGTGTGACTTGGGTAATCATTGCAGGGGAAGCACGGGAGATTCGACTTCATATTTGTGGACGCGGACAAGGACAATTACCTCAACTACCACAAGAGGCTGATCGAGCTCGTCAAGGTCGGTGGCCTCATCGGCTACGACAACACCCTATGGAATGGCTCGGTGGTCGCGCCGCCGGACGCCCTGCTCAGGAAGTACGTGAGGTACTACAGGGACTTTGTGCTGGAGCTCAACAAGGCTCTCGCCGCTGATCCTAGGATCGAGATCTGCATGCTCCCTGTGGGTGATGGCATCACTCTCTGCCGTCGGATCAGCTGAGCATCTAATCTGAAGACCTTATGATCAGGGTTCATTCTTAATGTAGAACCCAGGAAAAAAATGAGAGAGATTTATGCATATCTTGTTGCTGTTTCTTTTCCATGAAATTGTTATGGATTAAGCAAATTCTATTACTAAAGGAGCTGATTTGAGTTAAGAAGCAGGATTCATAATGAAATGCCAAATTCTATTGCCGTTTCTCTTTAATGCTCTCGATTTCTCTTATTATGATTTCATTGATCAGTTTCTTTGTATTATCTCGAGTTCTTCCGCCACTCGTGCAGAAGTGAATCCTTTGGCCCAAAACAAAAAGCAAAGTGAATCCTGGGATGACTACTTTAACCATAGTTCGTAATTTTAAATTTAGCAAAACTAAGAGACCAATATATCAATATCGTTTTCATCTTTCAAACGGTCCGCGCCTCAAGGAAATGAACTTTTTGGACCCTACGTACGCTTATCACTGATAGATTGTCATGTAACATTGCAAGTAACTTTTGAGTCATGTTATTCGAAGCAATAGATTGCTAGTTGCGAATATTACACCTATGATGATTTCTAAATTTTTCGAAACATTAAAGGGTGATAATAGAGCTCGAAGTTATCCCGTATAGAGGGTCATCCTCGAAATAGGATATGTGTCCGGCATGAATAAATCCGGATGGGCAGCTGAGGAATCCATTTGTTAAGTGATGTATACCGAGAAAAGGCAGCAATGGACAGCCCATCAAACGCACTCTTCGATCTGGGGCAACGAAGGACATGAACCAGACGTTCATCCTGACTTCCTAGTCGTAGGAATTAGCAAGCGTTCATTTGAAAGTTAACTATTCACTGCACCTTGTGGGACAATGCCACATGATCCCCCTTTGATAGGGAAGCAGAGCACAAACCACAGAGAAAGTTGCAGAGTCCTGCCATAGATGAGTTTCTCTTGCTGATGCCAATTGAGATCCAAGCGACGTAAAGTCGGAGGAGCTCGACAAACCATTCTCAGATGCAACTCATACCAGCTTGGTTGTACATAATCCGGATAAAGCAGCCACCATCATGAAATAACTCGCTTGTTATATGTACTGTTCGATGGACGTTTAACCGATGAGCAATACTATACGGGAAAAACGCAGTAAGTTCTCTTTTCTTAAAACATTCTTAAAAGTATCAATTTACGGTACCTCGACATATAACAAGTTTATCCAAAAATAGAGAAATCATTCAACGTCGTAGGTCTCGCACAAGAACTGATCTTTTATTTGTAATTGCATCCATTATGGATGCGTTTAGTTCGGCTTTGCAAATGGGCTTTAAGGAAATGCAAATGTCTTTAACTTAAAATCTCTAAAGCTACTTTAGCCCAATGCCAAGTTTCACTTGAAAGCCCCTTGGGAAGGCTTGTCAAACAATCCGGCATTTCCTTTAGGGGCTTTGGAGGCTAAAAGCCCCTTGAAAAGCTGAACCAAACGCACCAATATTACAAGTCAACCTAGACTAGGGGTGTCAACGGTTCAGGCCTCCACTTATGCCTGGCCCGATCCAAACATGAAGAGTGCACAAACATCGTGACCCGACCCAAATATAACCCAAACCGAATAGGATAATTCAGTTTGGTTTGGATTTTCATGTTCTGTTTTTGTCTTGTATTTTTTTTCCCGATTCATCATAGGTAGTGGATAGTGAATCATACTCCGCTTTATCCTTTGATCTGAGACTTTCTGACTTGGCATTTGTAGGTGAAGTGTTGAGTTAAGATTTTTGTTGCTGGTCGGAATTAAGATTCTTTTGGTTACATTAGTTGTTTTGCTCTTGCTCTTGACTCTGCACTCTTGTCAATTGTCCCTTTTCTTTTCACCCGCGTTGATAATGTGATTGCACTTCTTTGTTCTTATTCTTTTCATTATGTAATGTGGAGTGCCATTTCTGGGATATTTGTGAACTTCAGTTTTCACGACAAACAAAAGGAGTAAATTATGACCATGTTTCATTGAATTTTTTCTTCCCCGTTCTCCCTTTGGTGTGGTATTGTCTTTAAATCCAACTTATTTCTCTCTGCAGTTGAGATAGAAAGCCTAATCGATAGATGGTAAGAGCCCTTGCTTGTCGGCGAGATTGGTGATATAGACGATGGAGGGAGGGTTCTCCTTGAAGTGGCACAATGTGGCGAGCCCATCAGATCGGAGCTTCCTCGAGGGTGACGACAAAGGCGGATGGCGGAGTCAAAGTCGGTGGCAAAGAGCAAGACTGAGATGGCGATCGAGGTGCAGGCGAGGAGTAGGATGGAGTCGAGGGCCAAAACGAAGGTGTTCATGTTCACGAGGATTTGGAGCTACATAATCGATGATTTGGAGACGATGTTGTGGAAGGAGACGATGTGCATATCTCAAGGAAAAAGTTGTGGAAGGAAACGATGCATTTGAGGGCTTGACGCTCTGGGAGCAACAGTGCTTACTTCTAGTGTGTAATGGGTTATTCCGTCAGGTCGCACGGATGAGATCCGACCAAAAAGACCTGAAAATTTTCGAGTCAATTTGGGCCTGTTCGGGTTTTTTCTTTACAACCGTGATCTGGACCACTGGGGAGAAGCAATTTCTCAAAGAAAATTTTAAGAGTAAAAATCAGATTCAGATCCAGAATAAATTCTCTTCGGAGTTAAAACTCATTGCAGATTGGAGTCGAGGCAAGGATATATCAAATGAAGGAAAGAATTCGCGAGCCAAAAAGGATGCGTATTTGCAAAGGACCGCCCTGTAGAACCTACGAATCACCTGCTATACATAAAGCTGATTCAACTATAGTCGTGTCGAACTCGCCTACTCACCCATGCAAATGGGAGAACACCAAATTCAGCACAAGAAAGCTAAATCAATAGAAGAACAGAATAATGCCTCGTGGCGAGGCCAGAATCCGACTTTGGCCGACCTACTTGGAACCTAACATGCCCAAGCTGAAACCCATCCATCCCCCTCTACATTACATATCCTTTGCAATGGGGCATTATCACCCATTCACCTGGTGAGGCCGTTACGAAACCAAAACCGATACTCGAACGAGCACACTAACCACCTAGAGAATTTTGATTTGGATAGTAATGCAGAGTCTATAAAGTGGCAGATACTGCTCATCGGAAGCAGAGCGAGCCTCTATCCGACCTTATGAGCACCATCTCCACATCCCGGTAACGAACAAGCATTTGCTCCCACTGCCAACTCACAGAAAACTGAATCTACTCGGTCTAGTAGACGGACTACAGCAAAAGCATTGAAGCAAGACAAGCACGGAGAAGCACATTTGGAAGTGAATCATGCATTCATCTTTCAACCAGCTATAGCCAACAGATGAGTACCTAAAATAACAAAAATGAGCACTGACTAGCCGGTCCGCCAAAACACTCATCAATATATCAAATCGAAACTTCAGCTGAATCCATGTCCTCAAAAACCAGAAGCTAAAACATAAACAAAAGTAGAACAATATAAGGAAGAACTTGTCGACTCCCTCCTCGAATTCCCCTTCAACGGTAACTCTTCTGGAACCTGGCGCGAGCACCGCGTCCACCAAACTTCTTGGGCTCGCACCTCCTCGGGTCAGCCACAAGCAAAGTCCTATCATACCTACGAAATGAACGAACATCCAATGAGGATAAATTTGCAGACTTTCTTCCTACCGTAGCAGCAAGGCTGAATCTTTTATCTACCTTCACATATCAAACTAAACCCACCTCCCCTCGTCAACTCAAGGACAGACTATACACATCAAAACTGAGAAATCCACGACAAAACAGTTCCTAGAAGATCATGCCACACTGGAATTTGAGCCACAATCTCAGGCTCTTCGAAATGCAATACTTCGATCACCCTCTTACCATTACCAACTCGACTGAAAAAAGCGAAGGCTTCGACAATTTACCTAACCAAGATGTCCTTGATCTCCTTCTTGCTCTGCTCGTCCACGTACTTCTGATAGTACGCGACCAGGGCCTTGGCGATGCTCTGGCGGATGGCGTAAATCTGCGAGGTGTGGCCGCCGCCCTTGACCCTGATCCTCATGTCAACCCCCGCGAAGCGGTGGCGCCCGAGGAGGAGGATCGGCTCGTAGGCCTTGAACCGGAGGATCTCCGGCTCGACCAGCTCGATGGGGACGCCGTTGATCTTGATCAGGCCGCGGCCGCGCTTGCAGTAGGTCACGGCGACGGCCGTCTTCTTCCTCCCGAAGCACTGGACGGACTCGATGGGCGCCGCCATGGTTGCGTCGACTCCTGCCGGCGAGAATGCAGAAACCCTAGCTCTACTGGCGCAGGAGACGGAGGACGCTAAAATGGAGCGAGAGCGAGGGGATGCGAGCCCTTAAATATGGTGCGCCGGCGGAACGCTAGGGTTTTGCTTTGGGCCTGAAGGGAACTTGGACGGCAATTGCGTTTGGGCCTAGATTGCTTTTGGATGGGCCGACATATAGCTACGGCCCAAGCTCGTTTTGATGTATGCTGGGATTTTCTTTGGCCTTCTATACGCTAATTAGACCTGTTAAACGGATGGGTCGGGTCGGGTCGGATTTGAGTATGGTCGAAAATGGTCCGATCCGAATTGACATATTTTGATGTAATATAAATCTAGTGACTTATACTCAACCCAAACCATATTGCTAATACACTTTTTATGTTTAACTCAATCTAGGAAAATTCAAACCAAAACTAAGGTGAAAAGCATGGATTGAGCAAATACGAGATCGAGAGAGTGAAGAGAGGGTCATTGAGGTGAGTCGAGTCTAAGTAAATTGTGAACCTATTTAATAAACCCTTTTATGAGCCATAGAATTTGGTCTAAACCCATTTATCTATATAACAAACCCATATAACAATTAACACATCAAATACGGGTTAAAAAATAGGCATATGACCTATTTTGACAGATCTAATGCGGGTGTAGTAGAAGACCAATAAATTGTTGATACCCTAATGGTCCATTCGATACAAAATTCAAGATATAACTATAATAGCGCAAGAAAAACGGAACAAGTTGACTTATGAAATCCATACACAAAAAAAAGTATGTAAGCTAGATTCTTCATCGAATGGTTTGATCTTGATCAACCCCACAAAAGGTTTATAAAAATAGATCTTTCGCAATTCGCATGCCCACGATCTGCTCGACCCTTTTTTTTAGCTGTCGTTTCTTTTACCAGAAACAGACCATCCAATAAAATAAACGATTATTAAAATGCCGAGAGCTCCCTCTCCCTCCCCAACCTGGTGAAAAAAGATGATCCGGACGAGCCGAAACGAAACGGGTCAAAGAAGTCCTCCGACTCGATGCTCTCGGCTTCGATCCGAGAGAACTCCCGGTCGTCATCGCCGTGGGCCACCGCGTGACCCCCCCTTCCTTCGCTATCTCTCTCGCACCAGCGCCTCTCGCTGCGTTAAGACAAACCCGCATGCCGGAGATCCCACGCAATCTCGCCGGAAAATTCCAAACCGAGCACCCTCGCACTCCACCCCCCTCTTCTGCATCACCACGCACCCCACCAAAGTCAAAGTCCGATTAATTGGTTAGACTACTCCTTTAGGTTCCGATACGTGTTTTGTTCATTCAAGAATCGCTCGAGCAGGCCCTGTTGTAATTTTCTCGCCATCTCAAACCGTACTGAAGGTTCCTCCTTCCCCATGGGGTCGCCGGAGATGGGCTCCGACGAGCCCCTGACGCCGGCGGGGCGACTGTTCCTCCAGAAGGAGATGAACCAGGTGATCTACTGCGTCGTCGGCGTGAAGCACCCCCTCGACGTGGACGCGCTCAAGTCGGCGATGCAGAGCTCCCTCATGGTGAAGCACCCCAGGTTCTGCAGCCTCATGGTGCGCGACTCCGCGGGCCGGGAGCACTGGAGGAGGACCCGCGTCGACATCGACCGCCACGTCGTCGTGGTCCGCGGCCCCGTCGCCGACGGCCTCCCCGACGAGGCGGCGGTCAACGAGTACCTCGCCGACCTGTCCACCGACTCGCCGGGGCTCCTGGGCGACGACAAGCCCCTGTGGGACGTCCACCTCCTGATGGCCCACCGGTGCTTGGTGTTCCGGATCCACCACGCCCTCGGCGACGGGATCTCGCTGATGTCGATGTTCCTGGCGTCGTGCCGGCGGGTGGACGACCCCGAGGCGCTGCCCACGATCGGTCCCCCGTCGTCGTCTAAGGGGAGGAGCGGCAGGGGCGGCGGCGGCGGCGGCGAGTGGTGGAAGGCGTTGGTGAGGGTGCTGGGGGTGGTGTGGTTCACGGTGGTCTTCGTTGTGGAGTTCGTGCTGAGGAGCATGTGGGTGAGCGACCGGAAGACGCCGGCGAGCGGCGGCGCGGGGGTGGAACTCTGGCCGAGGAAGCTGGCCACGGCGAGGTTTTGGCTGGAGGACATGAAAGTCGTCAAGTCAGCGGTCGCTAATGCGGTAAGTTCTAAAGTTATTCCATGTGTTTTAACTGTTCATCTCGCCCCAAAAGTTATGCCACGTCGTCATCGCTAATGACGGGGGGTTAAATCGCCATTAACTGATGTGGCGATGACGTGGCATGATTTTCATAATTTTATAGCAAAACAAAACAAATGGAGAAAAAAAGAAAAGTTGAAATTTTTTTTTTCCGTCGGCAAGAAAAGTTGAAGTTCGGAAAGAAAGAGAAACAGATAACCGCAGAATCCCAGCAAGCGCTGGCGCCAATTCCTGGGGCCGGCGGCCACATTCTGGCGGCGGCGGCGGCAGCCGGGATCGCGCGAATGGCCCCCGAAGCCGACTGACCCACTCGCCGGGGCTGCACGGCTCTCGCAGGTGTGCGCAGGGGCGACCAATACTACATGGATTGGTCATTACTCTTTCATAGAAGAGTACTACATGCTTTTCTTGTATTTCATGACTACCAATGGATTTTGTTGCTTGCTAATACCAAATGATGAATCTGATTCATTGCTGCAAATGCAGACCATTAACGATGTTCTCTTCGGCATCATATCGGCCGGTTTGTTCAGATACTTGGACCACCGATCTCCCAACGGTAAAAGAGGAGTAGCATTTCCGGCGATTCCGTCTGATTTTTGTCGATTCATAGACGCCGAATCTCGACCGACTAAAATGCTCGTTTGCCTTTGTCAGCTGTGCGGGAAGGGACTCGACTAACGGGAGTGGCGATGGTTAATCTGCGAGAACAACCGGGATTGCAGGCGAGTCTCGCTGCTGTTCCTCGTTTCTCTTTTCTTTCATAATGTCACTCTTTCTTCTTCCTCTTTGAACTGAAGTTGATGGAATCGAGTGTGGTGTTGGTATTAATCAGGAACTATCTGATTTGATGAAAGGCAACCCGGGACTGCGGTGGGGCAACAAGTTCGGGATTCTCCTCCTCCCCGTGCACTACCACAGGAGCCGCGGCGACCCTCTCGAATACCTGAGAAAAGCCAAGTCGATGATCGACCGGAAGAAGAAGTCCTTGGAGGCTCACTTCTCGTACAAAATCGGGGATATCATCATGACCTATCTAGGAGCACGCGTATGGATCAGTTCACGCTTCTGCAATTCGGAAAACAGATCGAGAATCAGCTGACAAACTCGCAATGCGTCTGGTTTTTTTGGCTGATGCAGGTCGCGAGCCTGCTCAACTACCGGATCGTCTGCAACACCACGTTCACCATCTCGAACGTGCTCGGCCCGCATGAGGAGATCGCGGTCGTGGGCAACCCCATCACGTACATAAGGGCGAACTCCTCGAGTTTACCTCACGTAAGGCTCCCGAAACCCAATCGCCCCTCGCCGTTTTTCCTTTTTCCTTCTTTTCCGCGGCGTCGAGGACGGAATCTTTATTAAAACCGAGATGCGATGTGTGCAGGCACTCACGATGCACATGGTGAGCTACGCGGGGAGGGCGGACATGCAGATTCTGGTGGCCAAAGATATCATCCCCGACCCTGATTTTCTGGCCAGGTGCTTCGAGGATGCTCTGCTCGAAATGAAAGCAGCAGCAGCAGCAGCAGCTTCTACTGCCTTGGACTAGAAGAAATAAACAGGGGAACTTTCTTGTGACGTTAGGAGGGAAAATCTGTAATGTATTCTTATACGTGCGTGATGATTCTACACGGGGGTTGGAAAAAAATTGATCCCGCTCGTATGATGTTCTCTCTGGGACAAAAATAACCATTTTAGGCCATCGATCCAAATTTCGTCTTACATCTTACTCGATCAATGAAGTTAGTCGGGTATTTTTTGGATTCGGGATCCAAATTTCATCTCAAGTCTTACTTGATCAATGAAGTTAGTGAGGTAGTTCTCGAGTCCGGGATCTATCCACTCGAGGGCTGAGCTCCGCGCAATCGAAAAAGAGAAATGAAGAGAGCAACTCGATTCTCAGGCGAATGAAGCTAGGTACATTGATATGAATTTCATGATTTTGACAATGATGGGACAGGCTTCTGTCATTTGAATGTCCCACTTTATGTTTACATTTGATCACATCACTTGACATACATTTTATACATCAATCTTGCATACCTAACATCGAAAATTGTTACTCGTTGTTCTAGTTGGTTTACATCAGTCGTGCATTGATGATGGATGCCTCAACCGCTACTCAATCGGATAAGGATGTTATCCAAGCAACTCGTTTTATTTAGTTGGTTTACAACAATCGTGCATTAATGATTTGATGCCTCAACCGCTACACTCATATTTAAAAAAAAAATTCCATTTTTTATCAAATCAAAGCTTAGACTGCGTTTAGCACAATTTCAGAAAGGGACTTTGGTGTGAAAATTGTAGTGTTTGGTAAAAAATTTTGGACGACTTTGACTCAAAATTAGCATCGGCAAAGCTCAGTCTAGGGCAAGTCCTCCTCTTTATAGTTTGGCTTTGCAGTGTTTTCGAAAAATTCTATTATGGTTTATAGAGATTTTTCTTCTTCTTCCAATTTTGCTATCACTAAGGTTTTCAAATTCCTATCTTGCCCTCATTTTGTACTGTTCATCATCTCTCTCAACACCTGTCACTCCAATTTCAATCGACGCGAGCCCAGAGTCAATGGTCATTGAGGGATGGTCGATGATCGCCGAGATCTAGGTTCATCTTCTCCCTCACTGTCCATCTTTTGCCTTTAGCTAAAGTTCCATATGCCGTCTCTAGTCTAACGCTTCACTCAACAGTCGTGCTCGACTCGTCGACGGTTGTCAAAGATTTTTGGGGAAATGAACCCAAAACTCTTCCAAATGCACTCTTAGGCTGCGTTTGGTCGACCGGATAAAAGTCAGGATAGAATATGTTTTATCCTATCCTGTGTTTGGTGGTGGTCCAGGATAGGATAAGGTCGGATATAGACCGGATATAGCCCGGATAAAAAAATCCGAGGGAGGGGGTGGGATAGACCTGGATAGGATTTCTAATGCCTATTTTTCCAGAAACCCTACGCTCCACTTGCCGTCATCTTCATCCCTACACCTTGTGCGCTTTCACCAAAAAAATTTCTCGGCTTTTTTTCCTTCACCGACTCCTCCGGACCCGTGAATAGCAAAAAAAAAAAAAATTTATCCTATCCGACTTTAAATTCGTAGTCCACCAAACAGTGATAGGATATGAAGAAATCCCAGGATTTCTTATCCTATCCTATCCAGTCTTATCCTGTTTAGAAATCCGGACAACCAAACGTAGTCTTAGTGAATGATATATCATGTGATGAATAAAATAATGGCAATAGCAGCTAAAAACCTTGAAGAATTTCTTTTTTGTAAAATAGAAAATAAGATATTCCAAGAAAGATAAGGACGATAAATTTTTCAAAAAAAAAATAAAAATCGAAAGGGAAACAAAGGAGGTATATAGGTCACGGGAGTGAGGAGTGGAAGTTGAGAAGACTCGAGAGCAGGGAATTGAATGGCCCGGACCGGGGTGAGCGCACCGGTTCCGGTTCTACATGGAAACCGGATCGAATCGGGGCCGGTTCTCGGTTCAATCAGGGCCCGATTTGGGCCCTTCTTCTTCTCCTCGACTCGAACTCTGGGCTTCGAATTTCGCGCTCCTTTCTCTTTCCGGGTGTGATCTCGATCGTGCTCCATCGGATATTCACCTGCGACAGGTTTGTGTATCGGCTGTCCGGTTGCATGCCCGAATTCCGACGGGCGGAAGGGAGGAGACGGCGACTCCGCCGGAGGAGCGGGGGGGCGGCGGTCGGAGAATCAACGAGGACGAGCTCCTTCCGAAGAAGTCCAGTCCAGGTCACCGTCTCTCTCTTTCGGATTTTGAGTGAAGTGCCGTCATGGATGATTGGAGCTGAAAGGGAACACCGCAACCCGAACCGGCCGGTCCGGTTCCCGGGTGGACCGGCGCGGTCCGGGTTCCCAGGGATCGCGACGTCGGGGGGGGGGGGGGCTCTTATCCACTTTGAACAGTTTAGAATTTGGCGGAGGACGCAGTTGCAGCGTCGTGTGAGAGATTGCAGAGCCAAGAAGAAGAAGAAGAATGAAGGTGGGAGTGATCCATGGAGCTCCTGGCGCAGCCCTGCTTCCCCTGCGACGCGCCAGAGCTACCGTCAAATGCTCTTCCTCTTCTTCCGGTACACACACTCTCTCTCCCTCTCTCTCTCGCGGTGAATTTTGCCTTAGCTCCGCATTTTCCGAGTTAAATCACTCGCGGATGAAAGACCCATCTCTCTGTTTCGTCAAGCTTTGGATGGTACTGAAGTAATTTCGCTGTGCTGATTGAATTCGCTGCGTCCCGACGACTTAGTCGCGAACCCCCCCGAGTTCTTGGGATGGGGGGTCAAGGCAATGCAGATGTGGTGATGCCTGTTGTGTGAAGTTTGTCACTCTTTCGTATTGGGATTGAGTTTAGCTGTCTTGCTTTTGAGTGAGTGTATCGCAGTAGTAACATCTTCGAGAATAGAGAGCATGTGCGACAGAATAACAATGCCTTTCGTTCAAGCTGGACTTCATACTTTGGCCGACAATGACAATGGATTGTTGTTGACAGAATGACTTAATTTTAACTAAGGCAACAATGCTGCACTCGCAGTTAATAGCAGCATGAAGTTGAAGTTCTAATCACTATGGTTAAGCTTTCACTGGTTATAGCATGTACATTCTTGAGGCGGGGGTCAGATATTTTCTGAAAGACTCGTTTAAGGCGATTGCGTACTATCAAAGCTCAGCTTCTTCCTTTTTTGGGTGTCGGGTTTGAAAATTGACTTACTTCCAATGACATCCCGATGCTTTAGAAAATGACAATTTAGTATGAAACTTTTTGTCCTTCCGTTGTTGGTTTTTTGATTTTCTGCAATATTATTGTTCACTCCTTTTCGTGCTTAGAGGCTGAGTTGCTTGGGAGTTTGTAAATCAAAATGCAGGTCATTTATCATTCATCAAGGATGTAGCTGCTGCTGAACCTCCTAAGCATCTTCATTACTTGCTAAAAGTGCTTCAAACAAGAGGTAGCTTTAAGTCAAACCTTCCTCCCTTTGATTGATGATGTGTTGCTCATGATACATGAGGAAGTCCATATTTTATGCTTTGTGGAGAGGATGATTTCAAATATAAGGCATAATTTGTCTGGAGTGAAACTTGTCATGGCTGTCTTCATTTGTATTGATTGACCTTTGAGCAAGAAATTGTAGCAATCCTTTCTGCCTAGTATCCTAGTTATATGAGAAAGGGGTACTTATCAAAAAGAAGTTCTCCGAGGAAGGGATGATTACTCTTTTCTGTTGCCACTCGCCCTGTGTCCTAAAGTCTAGTTAAGATGATGATTTTGAAAGTTGGGCATAGTTCATTAACGCTGTAGAATGGATCAAAATGCACAAAATTAGTGTTTCAGCTAAAAGATATCAACTAAAATCTAATGATTTTCTTTATTCCCTGTTTTGAGCCATTATAGAACTTGTCCTTCTAATTATTAAACTCTTTGCTTGCAGGTGAAACGATAGTGTCTCCAGGATCTAGGCAAGGGTTGATCCCCCTAGTCATTCCTCTGACGCAAAATCTTTCAGGTAGCGTATGTAGTTTGTTTTAGGAGTAAGTACTTTTGTATCTAGGGCTAGCAATTCATGAAGCATCATAATGATTGAATTATTGGTCTCAATTAGGTGATGTTACTGGGTTGCTGAGGTGGCCAACAGCCCCACCTGGGTAAGACACTGTAACTGTGGTGGATATTAGAAAGTTAATTGTAGCTCTTACACCCCTTAAATTATCTACGGTTCATTGCCATTCATCACAGGATGGAGATGCCGGTTGTTGGAGTCCACAAGCATGGCGTGTGGCTATTAGCTAAGAATGTAATACATTGAGCTGCATGATTCACTTTATGCATAAATATCTTGGTCAACATGTTGTCTCCAGCATCTCAGGGTTATACACTTCTGCTTATTGGAACTATGTACATGCCAAGCAGTCCATGAGATGAGCTCTTGCTCTACCCCTTTACCATATTTGTTTGCAGTTGGTGAAAGAAGCTTAGCATTTTTAGCTTCTGCAGAACAGGTTGATCGGTATATACATAGGATTCTCGTTGAAGAAGATGCCAATTCACAGAAGAGTAGTGATGACCTCTACCATACTTCATCTGAGGCTGGTAAGGAACTTTATAACAAGGGTGATTTTGCAAAATCACAGATTAAGAATCTTGAGGCGTATCTCTTGAAAAAGGTAACCAAACAAGAAAGTGAGTTAGCTTTCACTTTACACTGAATTCATTTGATTCATTTTTTGCTTTTTTGTCTCTTTCCAGGTTGGTATGTTTCCAGATGTCTTGGAGCGCAAGGTGGCTCGCCACTTTGACGAGGGGGATGTAGTGGGTTCCTACCAATTTGTCTTTCTATTCCCTTTTTTTTCATATTGTCTGTCAGTGGCATTACTGTGAACATCATAATTCTGTGTGCAAGGTGTCAGCCATGGTGACTGGAGAGTTTTATACAAAGAAAGATCTCTTTCCAGGATTTGGACGTCCTTTTGCCTTTTATGCGGAGATTTTACTAAGGTCTATTAATTCTACTTTATTCACATGCTACTTTCCTATTCTCTCTCTCTCTCTCTCTCTCTCTCTCTCTCTCTCTCTCTCTCTCTCTCTCTCTCTCTCTCTCAATAGTTCACATTTGGCAGAGTTGGACGGGCCTCAGAAGCTAAAGATGCTGCCAGGGTGGCTCTAAAATCGCCATGGTGGACATTAGGCTGCACATATGAGGTATGCCTATTCATTGTTATGAACCGATTCTGTTTCAGTGCCTCTTTTGCTTGTTGCGAGAATGTCGGGTGGTTCAGGAAGTCGCTCAAATAGCACAGTGGGAGGATGAACAAATAGAGTACATCAAAGAAAAAGTGTCGGAAGAGGGAAAACAAGAGGATATCAAGAAGGGCAAGGCACCTGCACAGGTATCTCAAGTTGCATAGTTCATACATCTCAAGGAAGAAAAAGTTACTGACAATAGAAGGAGATTCCTGTTTGATTCGTTGGTTTCGCAACCTAAGGAGTGTTGATTTCGCAACCTAAGGAGTAAATAATAGTTCTTCATCGTAACACAGGTCTCTTTGGACGAGGCTGCTTTCTTGCTAGATTTAGCTTCTGTTGAGGGGACCTGGTCTGACCATCTCGAGCGAATCGCCGAATGTTACAGGGAAGCGGGACTCAATGATATAGCCGAGTTTGTTCTGTACCAGGATTGAGAACCCACCCCCGAATGAGGATGACGACATCTTTCGTCGACACGAAGAAGCCATGATCGTTTTGATTTAATTGTGTTCGACAGCAAGAGAAGGTCGACGGGGATGCGTTACCCCTGGGATCCAGTGAAAGAGTGAGATGATTCGGAGGGATCATAAATTTCCTAGTGACAGGTCGGATCAGATGCGACTCGTATTCCGGGTAGTCGGTCTTTTTTCCGTGTTTTTTAAGCAGGGGTTGGTGTATATCTTTATTTGATGATTCTTTGAGGGAATCGAAAGGCTGATTTAACGGGTGAGTTCATTCTTGGAGACTAATGTTTCCGTGAAATAAGCAGACGAATCCTGTAAAATTCCGCCTGTCACAGTTTGATACTTTTGTGATTGGCCCACATTCATAGCTAGCTCCACCAAAGTAGCTTGGTGGTGCATATGATTCTGGAAAAAGGCACCAAATTGGGGGCATCTATTCATAATTCGATCACGACATGACTTGCCTCTCTTCAATGGAAATTACCTCCATTTTCGATATGCCTTCCCATCAGAGTGCACTTCACTATCCGGGCAAAGCAGGAACGGCGAAAAAACAGTAAAAACTGATCGTTTGCCATCATAAATGACGCAAGTATCGGCCGACCTAAAAAGATTCTTACCTTATACACCTCGTGCGTTACATCTATTCGCGAATGTTAGCGCTTCAAATTTAACCGTTTAGCAGCCTAAAAGGGATAGGTGTAGCGCGAACTCGTATATAAGGCAATCGAATTAATTAATTATAATCATCCACCATATTGTATCTTATTTTTCAATCGACGCTTCCTTCCGTTCGATAAACTTTCGTAATTAGCGTCATCTATATTTTCATCTAAGTCGAATGCGCAAGAGCACAACGGCAGTTTTAATACACAAAGCGAAAATTTTGCAAAAATAAAATCAAGGTGAAGAGCATGGGCAAGTAACACTAGTTTAGTTCGAGAGGGTCAATGATATTTTCATCAAGAAATTTCATATTTTTAAATGATTTTGATAGTTAATTTCATTTCCAAAATCATATGGAATAACAAAACTTCATTTGTTTTTTTATAAGGCAGGCTTATCTTTCATTTGCGAAATCCCGAACGTGCCCTTCCCTTCCGCCCGTGGCCGTGCGAGCCAAAAAAAAAAAACGCAACGCTGAAAACCGCCTTTTCTCCCTAATCAACGCGGTTTAAATTTAATTAACATGAGCGCGATTTATTAAAAAGCTAAAACCCCGGGGGGGGGGGGGGGCGATACGGTAATTTACTCGTCCGCCCAGGGGCAGAATCGGGACGCCGGGTGAAAAAAATCCCAATCACCTCCTCCATCTCCACCTTTTTTTCCTCGCAGCAACACGGGCGAGGCTGCGACTCTCTCTCCAATCACCGAAGATCAAACCCTCCGTCAACCTCGATTACGCATGGAGATCTCACCGGCGGTACCCCCACCGCGCGAGGGCGGCGGCTCCGGCCTCGACGCCGCCGCCGCCTCCTCAGCCGCCGCGGCGGCCGCAGCCTCGGCCGCTCCCGCTCCCTTCTCGTCCGCCCTCGACCCCGATTCGGCGTCGCGGCCGGAGCAATCCGCGCCCGCGCCGGAGCACGCGCGTCGGCTGAGGTACGACGAGGAGGAGGAGGAGGAGGAGGACGTGTGCCGGATCTGCAGGAACCCCGGCGACGCCGATAACCCTCTCCGGTACCCGTGCGCTTGCAGCGGCAGCATCAAGTTCGTGCATCAGGACTGTCTCCTCCAGTGGCTCGACCATAGTAATGCTCGTCAATGCGAGGTTTGGTTCCTTCGCGCGCCTCGATTATCATTTCGTTAAGGGAAGAAAGCGCCGGAATTCGTTTGGCTCTCAATTCATATTTCCCTTTTCGAAAAAAATTAGGGCGTCGTCTGTAGTTATGGCTCGTTTCGTTTTTGACTGGAAAGTGCCAGAATTTGTTTAGCTCTTGATTCGTACTTCCTTTTTGATAGAATTAGGGCGTCTTCTGCAGTTATGGTTCATTTCGTTTTTGACTGATTAGAAAGATGTGTTTAATTGAACATATGTGCATATATGTGCTGTTCATGGGCGTACGATATATATATTTCTCTTGAGATTCTCGAGTGAATTTGACTTTGTGATGCTTCGAACCCGATAACCTGATGTTTGCAACAAGTAATTGGAAGTGTATCCGAAGATTAATTGCGAAAAAATCTTCTGAAGGCATTCTTTTAGACACGGACTAGTTGCTTTCTTTCTCTCTCTCTCTCTCTCTCTTTTTTTCGGGGAGGGGGTTGGGGTGTGTGGTCGGTGTAATTGTGTCAGCTGTCAAATGGCACGTATTCATTCGGTGATTTTTGTGTTTGTATATTTGTTTCTGTTAATTAGAACTTATTTGAAGTCATTTTTTCATTAATGATCTAGCGGTTGCTTAGTGAATGGATATACGAGTAAGCTAAATTGGCAGGTGATATTTTGGTAAGCTACCGCAATGATTCGTGTCAACTTGTCGTTTTTCATTAATGATCTTAGAGGCGGCTTGGTGGATGGATACGTGTTGGTTAGTTACTGTTATTAACCGCTGCCGTTTAGCCAGTTTCTTCTCAGTGGGTACTAGTCTATGTCCTTTATCCTCACTCAACTGTAGTTGGGATGATTTTTTGCGTGTGAAAGTGTACGATTTACAGCAGACAAATTCTGCTTGTTATGGTGTAGGATGATTCAAATTTAGGTTTTGAGAATGTGGGAAGAGGGGTTCTGGACAAGATTGAGCGTATTATATTTCGTTGCGCTACTTATTTCTACCAGGGCTGTCAATTCTGATCGCTGGGCCCAATAGTCTTCGTCCTTGTATCTGCCTATTGATCCTTGGGGTAGCTGGACTTTTTGGTGGCGACTATTTATGATTTATCTGATTTATTGCAGGTGTGCAAGCATGCATTTGCCTTCTCGCCTGTCTATGCAGAGAATGCTCCAGTGAGGCTTCCTTTTCAGGAGTTTGTGGTTGGGATGGCTATGAAAGCTTGCCATGTAGTGCAATTCTTTTTGCGCCTTACTTTTGTTCTTTCTGTTTGGCTCCTCATAATTCCCTTCATTACATTTTGGATATGGCGCTTGGCTTTTGTGAGGAGTTTTAATGAAGCTCAGAGACTGTTCCTGAGTCACCTGTCGACTACAGTTATTCTCACTGATTGCCTGCATGGATTCCTGCTTTCTGCAAGTATTGTGTTTATATTTCTTGGAGCAACTTCTTTGAGGGATTACTTCAGGCATTTAAGGGAGCTTGGAGGTCAAGATGCTGAGAGGGATGACGAAGGGGACAGAAACGGTGCCAGGGCTGCAAGAAGACCTGTTGCACCACCTAATAGAAATTTGGCTGGTGACGCTAATGGTGAAGAAGCTAATGGTGCCCAAGGAATTGCTGGTGCTGGTCAAATTATTAGAAGAAATGCAGAAAATGTTGCAGCTCGATGGGAGATGCAGGCAGCTCGTCTTGAAGCTCATGTTGAGCAAATGTTTGATGGTCTTGATGATGCCGATGGTGCAGAGGATGTGCCCTTCGATGAATTGGTTGGCATGCAGGGTCCAGTTTTTCACTTGGTTGAAAATGCATTCACAGTAAGTCTCTTTTCCGCTTGGGTTATTTGCATTCTTCTTTGCTGTTTGTGGCTGAGATGAAGAAGTTTTGTTGTCTTTATGCTCCTCAAGAATTTTTTTAATTCCCATATTGACTGGTTGGATTTCTTCCTCTGCAGGTCTTGGCGAGCAACATGATTTTCCTTGGTGTCATAATATTTGTCCCCTTCTCTTTAGGACGGGTCACGCTTTATTACTTGTCATGGCTTCTTGCTAATGGCCCAGTATTGTCGAAAGTCATGCCACTCACAGATTCAGCTCTATCCTTGGCGAATATTACATTGAAGAATGCATTAACTGCCGTTACAAACTCGTCTTCCGAGGGTCAAAGTGACGGTCTGGTTGGCCAGGTTGCAGAGGTTTTGAGTGCAAACACAAGTGGATTAAATGAAATCTCCAGCAACATAAGCTCAAATCTCTCTGGGGATTTCTTGAAAGCAGCTCCCATTGGAACATCAAGGCTCTCTGATGTCACCACTCTTGCTATTGGATATCTGGTGATCTTTTCTGCGGTGTTATGCTATCTTGGGATTGTTCTTTTGATTCGGTACACAAAGGGTGAGCCATTGACTAACCGGAGGTTCTATGGTATTGCCTCAATATTAGAGACAATTCCATCTCTTCTTCGGCAGTTCTTGGCTGCTATGAGGCATTTGATGACGATGATCAAGGTTGCTTTTCTTCTTGTAATCGAACTTGGGGTATTCCCATTGATGTGTGGATGGTGGCTTGATGTTTGCACGATAAGAATGTTTGGGAAGTCGATGTCAAATAGAGTTCAATTCTTTTCACTTTCCCCTTTAGCAAGCTCATTGGTTCATTGGGTTGTGGGAATAGTTTACATGCTTCAGATAAGCATTTTCGTCAGCCTTCTCAGAGGGGTATGCACCTTTCTCCTACTTTCTTTATTGCTTAGTCGTTCTATATATTGTAAATGTTACCACATAGCTTTCCTGTTCATCTCTTTAGCCTTTTCTTTTGGATGTGTCTATTAGGTTCTACGTAATGGGGTTTTGTACTTCCTTCGAGATCCTGCTGATCCAAACTACAATCCATTCCGCGATCTCATTGATGACCCAGTCCACAAGCATGCCCGCAGGGTTTTGCTGTCAGTGGCGGTTTATGGTAGTTTAATTGTGATGCTGGTATTTTTACCAGTGAAGCTTGCTATGCGGATAGCACCCTCCATCTTTCCGCTTGATATATCGTGAGATTATCTCCTCGCTTACATTTGCAGTTTTGAGGTTTCGGTGTCATCTACTTTGCTGACACTTACAACTTACATGTTATTTTGCAGAGTCTCTGATCCCTTTACTGAAATCCCCGCTGACATGCTTCTCTTTCAAATCTGTATCCCATTTGCAATTGAGCATTTTAAGTTGCGGTCAACTATCAAATCCCTTCTTCACTATTGGTTTACAGCTGTTGGCTGGGCCCTGGGCTTGACCGATTTCTTACTACCTAGACCCGATGATAATGGCACCCAGGAAATTGTAAATGGAGAGCCAGCAAGGCAGGATCGACTACAGGTAGTTCCACTTGGCGGACATGATAGAGCTATGGCAGTTGCCAATGATATCGATATTGTGGAAGAATATGACTTCGATGAGCAATCTGACTCTGAGTAAGTTTATATTGTATTCCGCAACTTTGATGCTCATGCTTAAAAAGGTCATATATTTGGCACCGCTGGATTACTCTCTCTCTCTCTCTCTGCGTGTGTGCGCACAGGACTCTCTTGTTCTAGTTTTTGGATAAGCTTTTATCTGTCTATTATTGCCCACCTTTTTTCTTCTTTCTTTTATTTAAACATTGTCGTAGCCCTCAGTTTTTTGGTGTTGTTTAAAGCCATATCTCCTGCCTTCTCTAGTTTTATGGACTACATGATTCCCAAATCTTTCCGAAAACAAGCAGAAACTTAGTTGGATGACATGTCATTTTAACATATTGTAGCAGGTACAGCTTTGTCCTCCGTATTGTCCTCTTGTTAATGGTGGCATGGATGACGTTACTTATCTTCAACTCAGCATTAATCATAGTGCCTGTTTCACTTGGACGAAAATTGTTCAATGCCATTCCCCTTCTCCCAATAACTCATGGGATCAAGTGCAATGGTATGTGGTTGGTTCAAATTGTTTTAGCTGTGACTCATTTCTTTGGATAAAGGCTGATGATTTTGTTTGAACTGATATGGCATTGTTTGTAGATCTATATGCTTTTATTATCGGTAGCTACGTTATTTGGACTGGGATTGCGGGATCAAGATACACAGTTGAGCACATTAGGAGTAGGAGAGCTGCTATTTTGCTGGGTCAAATCTGGAAGTGCAGTTGTATAGTCATCAAGAGTTCTGCTCTTCTTTCGTTATGGGTGAGAAGCATTCTCTTCTTTGCTTGTAATGTTTAGTTTCCTAGAGGTAGCTATTTATGGATTATTGCATCACTGATTTCTGCAATTATCGTGCAGATTTTTGTCATTCCAGTGTTGATTGGCTTGCTCTTTGAACTTTTGGTTATTGTGCCTATGCGAGTGCCTACAGACGAGAGTCCAGTTTTCCTTTTGTATCAAGATTGGGCTCTCGGACTCATCTTCCTGAAGATCTGGACTAGACTGGTAAGTGTTTTTATTTGGATTTAGAGGGACTTGTGTAAGCTGAGAATTTCCCCATATGAAATATGCTATATGCTCGTGTACTTACTAGTATGGAGGAGGAAAGGCAGCTTGATTGCTCCTGCATACAAGCTTCCTTCTCCTATTTGACTAATCCTGTTTTATGTTCCCAGTGCATTTATTTCATCTCACTCGAGTGTAAAGAGATCAAAGTGGTGGTTGGATGAGATCTTTTTTGCTCGAGGAATAACTCGTCTTCTGTAGTGATTCCATTTTCTGTTACTATGCGACACTGGATTTGAAGAGCTTTTAGTTAGTATGCTGGGTGAGATGAAACAACAAGAAGTCAGGCTAAAAAACGGCTTTCATTCTTTAACAGTTTGGGGAGTATTTATCATTATCTCAAGCTGAATTTTCTAGACATTGCTATTTTATGTCTGTAATATTTCAATTGTTCGGGTCCTACCTTCTATTAATTAACTTTGGGAATCCCATAGGTTATGAATCTATCGATTTAAATCCCATACTGCTTCTTCTGTAGGTCATGTTGGATCATATGATGCCATTTGTCGATGAGAGTTGGCGGTTAAAGTTTGAAAGGGTGAGAGAGGATGGTTTCTCCAGGCTGCAGGGCCTTTGGGTCCTCCGGGAGATCGTCTTACCAATCATGATGAAGCTTCTGACTGCTCTTTGTGTGCCTTATGTTTTGGCAAGAGGGGTGTTTCCCGTGTTTGGATACCCTTTGGTGGTTAATTCTGCTGTCTATCGGTTTGCATGGCTGGGATGCCTTGCCTTGAGCGTATTATGCTTCTGCGCCAAGAGGTTCCATGTCTGGTTCACTAACCTTCACAACTCCATAAGGGATGATAGGTACCTGATCGGGCGCCGGCTCCATAACTTTGGAGAGGACGCTGAAGTTAAGAAGCAAAACGAGTCTGAGGCATCAGCAGATTCCCCGACCGCTATCTTGCCAGGAACTGGTTTGGTTCGTCAGGACAGGGAAGTCGATGTGGGATTGAGGCTGAGGCGTGTTAACTGACAGTGACGCTCGGAAAAAGGGAATTGAGGAGGCTTTGGTCCTATGTATTTAAATGTCGGTGTCAAGCTGTGTGCGCCCTTTCACATTTTATTGCTCGTGAAAGTTCTAACGCAAGGATCGGGCTTATGTTTACTTTAGCTAGCAAGTAGAATCGTTAGGGTTTTATACATGTGTAGCACATTCTGTTTAAACTCAAGTTCTTCGATTGTGAGGGAATACAACACATATGTTCGCCCAGCTTGTGGTCGTTGTGTGGCTGCCAAATCACGGGGGAACTAATGGCATCCTGGCAAAGTGGCGTCGCGAATGCGCCCAGGCCAAGCCATCTGCTCAATCATCTCATGTTAAAATGTGGTCAAGTTTTTGCCATTATTTGCACTGATGTCGACTGAAGTGAAATTCAAGTAGCATTATTGAACGTGGTATGTTGGCATTAAGCTAACGTTAAAAGCGTGCGAAAGTATAACAGTGGCATCGATTATCGCTATCATAAATGACGTGTGATGAGCCACTTAGGATGCTCCCCTGTACATAATAATTGAGATGGGTGATTATCATAGGGAAAATTTCAAATAAGAATCCGAAGGTCTCTCGTTTTTTCAAATAAGGATTTGAAGTTTCTTCATTTTCTCAAATAAGGACCTAAAGTGAACATTATCTTAAATAAGGGTTTGAAGTGGCTATCTCTGTCTCAAAAAAGAGCCTAACATTATCGGAGTCGAGGGCATTTTTGTCCTTTTTTTTTTTCTTTCCTTTTGTGTTTTTTTCATAAAAAACCAACTAAAAAAAAATTAAAATAAAAAAACAGGGCTAGCCCTCCCCCGCCTGTGGTCGCTAGCTCTTTAGCGAGGGCTGGCGACCATCGCCGACCAGAGTCAAGGGCCTAGTGGCCCTTGACAGAATCGAGAGGGTCGGGCGACCCTCTCCCCGATCTAGCGAGGGTCGTCGGCCCTTGCCCTAGTTTGGACGAGCGTCGCCGGCCCTCGCACAAGTCTAGCGGCCCTCTCCTAGACCTGGGCGAGGGCAGGCGATGCTCACCCAAACCGAGGCGAGGGCTAACGACCCTCGCCAGATCTGGGAGAGGGTCACTCGACCCTTCTGGTAGGCTCTCGCCTCTAGTTGGTGAGGGTCACTGACCATAGCCGCTGCCCATAGTGGCCCTCGCCTCTGGTTGGTGAGGGTCGCTGGCCATGACCGCCGGCCACAAGCAGGGCTGCTAGCCCTCCCTTGTTTTTTCTATTCTTTTTTTTAAAAAGAAAATTTTTTAATTTTTAATTTAATTTAATTAAAATTATTTTTTGACTAAAATGCTCTTGATTGACCGGAAAATTTAGTCGGCCGACAGAGTGAGGCCTTCATTTGAAATTGTTATAACCACCTCATATGAGAAAAAAAGAGCACTTCAAATCCTTATTTGACACAAAGATTCACTTCGGATCCTTGTTTAAGAAAATGAAAACATTTCGTATCCTTAATTGGAATTTTCCCATGATCATATAATGCGGCTAACTGGCGAGAACGTGCCTCCACGGACTATGCTCACGACAAAATCTTCAAGTAGTAGTCCCCGTGTTGTGGTAACAGATCCATCGATTGATGACAATCACATTCACATAGAAAGATTATAGAACCTGCCTACTTACGAGTCGAACGGACCATGCACGTTAACGAAGTGAGGTAACCTACCAAAACCGCCCTACCGTTTTTGGCTTAGACCATGGCAATACCAACTCCAAATGACAAAAAGCACCAAATGGGAATGGAGATCACTGTATGTAAGCACGATATATCAAGCAAAACAAAGTGTGCAATCGCCCTCACAAAAATCAAATCTCAAGCAAAAAACAAGACAAAATAATCTTCTAGGTCTTTCCAACTCCTCACAAACTCCTGGAGATGCTCACCACATCAGGCAAACCCTATATCTGCCTAACAAAGCAACTCAATCAAAGTCTCAAAGCCATCAAATAGAACGGTCTCAAAATCCGGCGTCTCAAAAGCCGCAAGCTCATCACCAGCACTCAGGAAACAAGGTTGTCACTCAGAGAAAGAGATGCCAGCTGATCGGCGGTGCCACCAGCCTGTTGCTGCACCACACTCCTAAGGACCTCCATCGCTTCAGCCACTTTTGCTTTCAGGGCTTCTGGAGACTCCAGCAAATGCAAGACCTCAGTCTGATCCATTTCCAGAAGCATGCCAGTGACTTTGGCTGCTGCCTCAGGCTCCAGCTGTTCCACCAGCGGATAAAGATTCTCACCCAACATCTGCAAGAGTTTTCCCCACACGTGATAAATAACAAGTCCAGAGTCATCTATAGTAGACACGTGAAGACATATTCATCCTAAGATCCTACAACATGAGCTTCCGAGCATTACCAGAAAAAAAAAAAACCACCATGCACAACGGACTGTCATAAGGATGGTCATATTTCCACTCTATTGGGTCATTTGTCCATATTTTGATATCATAAGATATTCACTGAGACATTCAAAAGAACTTACCACCTAGCCCTCATCAACTCAACCGAGCATAACATATCTGTATTTTTGTTTTCTGGCCAACTAATGCTCAAAACATTATTAAGAGGATGCGCCCATCCTTAGATCTGTGGTTAGGTGGGGGCAGGGAGAAGAGGAAAAGCATAAAATGTCGGTTTAATTTAAGGCATCGCAGCTCCTACCGTTCTCTGCTGATCTGGACTAGCGTTTGCTAGGGCAGAAGCCAGAGCTGTAATTGGAACAGCCTGAGATATTGGTGCATCACGTAACGGCATTCCACCCATGTCATATGGCATAGGTATCATTCCTCCTGCCACACCAGGCACTGGCATATCAGGCAACCCACGTCCAGGAGGGTATCGATAAAGGCGTCCCCCCCTTGGAAGCATCTGTCATTCAATTAAAGAATAAAAAGCTTAAAATGCATGTTCAAACATGTATTAGAGGAAACATTAAAGCAAAAGTACCAACCTGCTGTTGCATCATTGGGACTGGCTGCTGCGATTGCTGAACAACTCCTGTACGTCTCCCACCTGGTCGCTGACCTTGCTGCCCCTGCTGAACCATAGGCACCAGGAAATTTGGCATGGGAGCTGCACCAGGTCTCATACCAGGAACAAGCTGCTGTTGATACCCAAACCCAGGCTAACAAAAAAGGCAAAAAAGGTAGGCACAAGATTAGTGATTGGAGACTCGGAGTAAAGCAAAGAGCTATCAACCTTTGTTAACCAGAGGAACTAACACATAACAAAATGTAATCGCCCACTGCACGCCTAGAGAAAACTAAACATAGGAGAAACTTACCTGGGGAGGCATGACAGCAGGAGGGGCTTGACCGTAGAATAGTTGTTGGCCAATACCTGGACCTCCAGGTGGATAAAATGGCATGCGGGGAGCAATAGTGGGTGCCATTGCAACTGGCCTCATTTGAGAAAATTGAGCCTACGCAACACATCAGACGTCCATCATATTTCGGGACATTCATCAATACTACATACTCCAAAAAGTTAAAAGAAATTGCATGACATGAAGAGGAAGCACACCTGCAACCTGGCTCTTCGGTCCTCTTTTCTTTGTGCATGTGCAACATACAGAGGCTTGCTGACAACCATTTTGCCGAGCATCTCAGAGAGCTAATTAGAAAGGAGAAAGAAACCAGGTGGTTGGGAAAAGAACCGTCATCTTCCAGGAAATTTTTTAAACGCAAATCTGAGAGGACAAGTAATTTACTTACAGCTCTGGAAGCCTCTTCAGGAGTAGAGAAAGCAACAAATCCCGATCCTCTACTAATGCCATTAGGATCTCGCATAACCTGTTGAAATGAAAAGCATCACCAACAAAATGAAATCAACGACATGCTCAAAATTAAGAAATATGAGGGCGGATACTGGGCACATCATCACAAAATAGAAACTACAGAGGAGAGGAGAGGAGATGAGAATAACCTTGCACGACGTAATGGTACCAAATGGAGAGAACAGCTCCTTAAGCTTCTCATCGTCTATGCTATCATCTAAATTCTTTATATACAAGTTCGCCCCTTGAAGTTTATCAGCCGCTTCCTTCATGCTCTGCTCAAATCGATGTTTCAGTTCAACTTCCCTCTCAGATTTCTTTTGAGCTTTCCCAACATACCATTCCTTATCATCATATTTCTTCCCATTTAGAGCGTCAACTGATCTAGCAGCATCATCTGAATTTTCAAAGTTCACAAATCCGAAACATTTGGATTTACCATCCCCATCTCTCATCACCACAACACTAGTAATTGGTCCAAACTCTCCAAAAACTGTTCTCAACTCTTCTTCAGTAGTCGACTCTGATAGGTTTTTCACATACACATTGTTAAATTTAGTCCTATCTTTAGCGCTTTCTCTTTCCTGCTTACGAAGGAAGGGTCCCACATACACTTGCTTGTCATTCAATAGCATGCCATTCAGCTTCTCTATAGCTTTCTGAGCAGATTCCTCATTATCATATTGTACAAAGCCATAGCCTTTTGACTGACCAGAAGGATCAGTAGCAACTTTGCAAGAGAGGATATTCCCAAAAGCAGAAAATGTATCATGTAATGCCTTCTGGTCAATTCCCTTGTCCAAATTCTACAAAATCAAAATACAGGAAGAATGGTTGACTAGCTAATACATATATCGAAGGTACGTGAAAGCTGGAAAGAGAAACCAGCATAAAAAAATAAACAGCGGATTGGGATACCTTGATGAATATATTTCCAGCTCCACTTTTACGGACACTAGGATCGCGCTGAGAATACATTATCCGTATTGGCTTCTCATTAAGAGGAGTAAAGTTCAGCATCTCCAAAGCCCGAGCAGCTGTCGTGAATTTCTTTTTAGCACATTGTAGAGAAAATAGAGAGGAAAAGTAGGAAACAAGAAATCCAACTGAAATAACGAGAAATGAAAGAAGTTTCTGGTGTCAATTGAATTGCAAATGGCGACCAATAGCTTCAACATATTTAAATATGTCCTGCACGACTGCTACAGGACAGCCCCGCACCTCTCTGACCAGTAAAGACTAAAAGGAAAACTAAAAGTTCCTCCGGAAAGCAACCTAGACGATGCAAAAAAACAATAGCTTACTACAAAATCTTCGACATGAAGGGTCAAAATAAACTAGCCAATAATGGGCACAGATTAAGTTTCAAGGTAGCCAGGACCATCTGTCCTTCCACCTCAATTTACCAGAGGTACGTTCAGCAATTCCCAAGAAATATAACAGCATAAAAAGAAAACCCTGTTTTTCAGAAAGCAAAAGCTCAATTACTTAAGATATCTGTTTATGCAACTGAAAGCACACACGATAAAATATCCAGTCTTTCCTATCCGGCTGACAGAAGACACCTAATCCGTCGTCCAAAATCTCCTAATTATACAGAAAATGTCAATCCACAAGAACCAAAAAGGAAAGACAAAAACATTGAACAATGCATGCACAAGCGTTACAAAAGGCTTAAATAAAAAGGGGCAAAAAAAAAAAAAACAAACATCAATTTCTTCAGTGCATGTAAATTTCTCCCAAAGTCAGGACATCCAGAAACAGCAACAAGGAACCCATCGCGTAATCTTAACATCACGACATTAAAAGCCGAACGAAACACCCAAAATGCAGTTTCATCTATTTCAACACTCGTACAAAAAAATATGTCACTCATGGCAACCAAAACCGAAACGGCTAATCAAACAACATCGTCCAGTACTATGTGGGTGGGGCGCAAAAACCCTACTTTATCGCCGATGATACCAAGGCAAAAATCTCCGCAGCAACAGCAACGCAGAAAAAAGAAAGCATCTCAAACCGGCGACAGAACGACAAAACTCCAGAAACTCCCAAAATCGACAGGCGGCAAATGCCTTCCGGCGACGAGAAAGGAATTAAATTTCGGGCTAACCGTCAATTGGGCTGCTGTAATTGACGTAGCCATAGCCGAGCGACCGCCGGGTGGTCAGGTCCCTGCAGACGCGGACCGAGACCACCTGGCCGACCTGGTTGAACAGATCGTAGAGCTGGGAATCAGTGACGTTGAAGTCCAGATCCCCGACGTAGAGCGACGTCGTGGCGTACTGGTTCGGCCCGGCGTTCACTCCCGGCATCGCATTCTGAGGCTGAACCTGAACCTGCGCCATCCTCTCTCCCGAGCAGCCAAAAAAAAATTCTCCTTTTTTTTTATTGGTCCTTTTTCTTCCGCCTGAAACCTTCAAAAAAGAAACCCCTCTTTTTTTTTTTTTGCAGAGATTCTTTCTTCCCTCTCCTCTGATTATTCGATGCAAAAAAACCCTAGGAAGACGATACAAGGGAAAACGATACGAGGGGGAAACGGAAATGCACGCGAAATGCTCGACGAAAGGCCTGGGAAAAGGGCTGGTAGGGGGGCTGGACAAAAGGGCTTTTCTTTTTGGGTTTTCCTTCGGTGGGTATCGGAAAAAAAAACCACAGGAGAGGAGAGGGAACGAAAGGAGGGTGGGGCGACGGCGGAGGGATAGATAACCGGCGGCGGCGGCGGCGGCGGCGGCGGGTGAGATAGGGAGGGGGGAGAGGGTTGCGAGGGAGGGAGGGAGGGATTGTAAAAGAGGGCAGCGCAGACTGCTCCGAAAGAGGAATGACGCTTGGAGGCGGTGACGGATCATATACTCTCTCTCTCTCTCTCTATCTCTATCTCTAGGGTTTCCTTTCATCATACGATTCTACCATCCAATCTGGGCCGTTGGATCTGTGCGTGTGCCCCCGCTTGTGTGTTTCACCTCGGCTTTTGCCTTGCCTTGCCTTTGCCTTTGCCTTTGTTTTTTCGGAAATAAATAAAAATGAATAGCTTTTGCTTTTGTTTTTTTTTTTCTTTTTTGGCTTCTTCAAAGGGAGAGAAATAGTCATGCCGGGGAAGTTAACTTAATGGAGAGGGATGTAAGAAAAAATCGATTGGTGACGTCTTGAATATGAATTTCCTTTTTCTTTTCCGTAGGTTTCGTTTGGGATTATTACACAAATGGTCCCTGAATTTTGCCCCGATGTGCAACGTGATCCCTGAACTTTAATCTAATATGCACTATGGTTCATGAATTTTTGATTTGTTTAATATAGTTCCTGAGCTTTTCATAGATGTTCAATTTAGTAACATATCCCTCGATTCAATCAAGTTACTGGATTATCTAGTCAAATGACTAAATTGAAATCAAAAGTACAGGGACTACATTGAACAAATTAAAAGTTCAGGGATCATATTACACAATAGGGCAAAGTTCAATAATTATTTGTGTCATTTTCCCCTTTTTATTTTTCTAATATTATTTTTTTCCCAAAACATGTGGAGCATATCTTTTTTAGATAGTTAAATCACGAAAATATTAATCACAATCGATATGTTCAATTTGGGTATTTGATTTTCGACAAAAAAAAAACCTTGGGTATTAGATAATCTTTTTAATCTAGCCATAGAAGATGACTTAATTTCATGCTAATAAGTGATTTGAATAAAGCGAAAATGATATAAATGGTCAATGAACTTTGATTCAATATGCAATGTGGTAACTAAACTCTTAATTTATTTAATGTGATCAATGAACTTTAACCCAGACATGCAATGTCACCCTTGAAGTTTTAATTTGTTCAATGTGATTATTAGACTTTTGATATATGTTCAAATTAGTCACTAGATTATATGAAAATGTTCACTGTAGTCCTTGAACTTAAATCAATGGAATGATGACATTGAATATTTTCATAAAGTCCAAGGACTGGCTTATTAAACAGATTAAAAGTTTATGAACGATATTGCACGTTGGGATAAAGTTTAAGGACCACATTGAATTAATTAAAAATCCATGGATCATAATGCATCCTGTGCCAAAGTTTAAGAATCATTTGTGTCATTATCCCATAAATAAAAAGTGCTTCGCACCGATTCTACTATCGAATCAATGCCGTTAAATCTCTTTGTACGTGTGTGTTTCACCTTTGCTTTATTTCTCAAAATAATAAAATAAATAACTTTTTTCTTTTTCAAAGAGAGAGAAATAGTCATGCCGGGGAAGTTAACTTAACGCCGAGGGATATAGAAAAAATTGATTGGTGACGTCATGAATTTCCTTTTTCCGTGGCTTTTGTTTTTCTAATAATAATGCTTTTTTTTTTTCCAAAACACGCGGAGCATATCTTTTTTAGGTAGCTAAATCATGAAAATATTAATTGCAATCGATATGTTCAACATGGGGATTAGATAATCTTTTTTGATACAGCAATAGAGGATGACTTAATTTCACTCTAATAAACGTGATTTAAATAAAAGTGCTTCGTATTTTACTAAAATTGATGCCCTTGAAGTCTGTATGCTTTTCACAAATAATTACGCTTCTTTAATTTATATTATTGATGTTATTATGATTAGACTTCACATAGCTGAATGTCTTTTGCTTTACAACAATGTCTTCTTTATTTACAAAAAAACTCATTATTATGTTGAAAAATTTTCTCTAGGGAAATGAATGCCTTTTTTTTTTATCGGAAAATGAATGCCTTACACGTTATGAGGACGGGAAGATGAATGAAAGTATAAAGGCCCAAATTTTCATTGAATAGACAAACTCTATCTAGTTGTGTTTAGTCAGATTTAGTGAGTTGAACTTTTGGATCCTATAACGGTAAGTTAGATATAATTACTACAGTTCAGATTTTTCGATCCATGCGAGTTGAAATTTGCTCCTTTTAACATATTCGGCTCTCTTTTTTAGAGAGCACTGTCCACGAAATCTTCGACAACCTCTAACTCTTCCTTATGTCGATGCAAAAGTTGTAACGGGTTTTTACACAAATTTGGGAAATTTGTATAGAACAAATTTAACAAACATGCAAGAAAAACGTATGATAAGCACAAACCATGGCAATCTAGCATTGTTTTCCTATAGGAAGGCCAAAAAGATACGTTTAAATTAAGGGGGACAAATGAAAAAAAGGGTTGACTGTTGACACGAGCAGAGACGCATGACTAAGCTCATGAATGATTGGCTATGTCAGGCTCCTAATACAACAAGATTATTCTTAACCTGGGCATAATCTAGAAATGGGGTAGTTCTCCAAAATCCTTGTACCTCTTGAACCCAGATTGTGAGTCCCTGTTGTACTACCCTGCAACCCTGGGTTTCACGCTCTGCCCCTCTGCGTTTATATCTGGAAGTGCTCTCCATTGCTACGTTCTTCGCGTTCTCCTTTGCTGGGTCTTTCTTCCATCTCGGAATCTGATCATGGAGGAAGATGAGGTTGAGGTGACGGTTCTGTACGAACGTTTAGGTAATCTTTGGTCAGATTGAAAAATAGCATTCCCGGATGACGTAGAATCCATTGAAAGATTAAAGGAATGCCAGCTTAATCTCTTTAGAAAGTCATGGAGAGTAGACAATTTTATTACTGGGTCTCTGGACAATGGCATTTATGCTATAACGAATCAAACAGCAGCAGAAAAAGACAGAATCCTTCGGACAGGCCCTTGGTCTTTCTCAAATCATTTGCTCATCCTCCAACCATATGTACCTAACACCCCTCCCCACTTGCTGTGATTTCAACTCTTGTGGGTTCTGGGTACAGATTTATGGGTAGCCCTATGAATGGATGACGGAGGAAGTTGTTGGTCGAGTTGCTAAGACTATCGGCTCTATGTCGAGAGTAAAAGTGGAACAGAAAGGTTCTGCTACCCAGAGAAATGGGAAAGCTCGAGTGACTTTGGATTTATCCAACCCCCTGCAACTTGAGACCATTCGTGAAGTAGAGGAAGAATTTTTTTGGGTGGATTTCGAGTGCGAGAGGCTGCTTTATTTCTACGATGCTTGCGGCAAAATAGGGCACTGCTCTAAATTCAATCAAGAAGTCACTTTTGATAAGAATATACTAGAGGAATGCCTCTATGGATACTGGCTAAAAGCTAAAGATTATAGTCCATTTTGGAAATTATTCTATGGAAAGCTAGAAGAGGATGACATGGAAATGGAGTTTTATCCCTAAGACCCCGCTAGATACCATCCAGATTTTATCTTGCACCACAGACTTCCATGAGGTGGTGCCCAAGCAAAACACGGCTCAACGGCAGGAACGAAAGGAGATAGCTAAAGGGGAAGAGATGGCCTGTTTGGTTCGACTTTAGGAGAGTATCTGCAAAGGTCTTTAGGTTAAAGGGATTTTTCAAAATGCAAGTAGTGTTTGGTAATGTGTATTTTAAAATCACGTTTGAAAGCAACTTTGGTCTAAATACCGTTTGGTAAAAACTAATTTTATAAAGGACTTTTGCTAATATTTTTAAAATTTTTTTTTGAGGTGGGGCTTAGCCACCGGCAAGCCAAAACAACCGCTGCCCAACCTCCGCCGGCCAGATCTAGCCGCCGCCCAACAGCCAGATCTGGCTGTCGGCCAGCCTCGCCAGGGTCGCCCGACCTCAGGCGTCGCTTAGGTCGCGCGACCCCTCAGGCGGCGGTCGCCGACCTCCGGACTAGACCCTCGAGGAAGATGAACAGTCCATGAACAGTGTTACTAGCATTCCGAAAATGCAACTTGCTAAAATGCCTCCAGACCTGCCTTGGGCTAAGGGACTTTAGAGGCATTTGAAAATGCAATTATATTTTCCTAAAGTGCTCCAAAAAAATTGCCAAACGCCATTTGCATTTGGCCAAGAGACTTTAGAGCCCCAATGCTCATTTCAAATGCTGAATCAAATGGGACCAGAGTCCCACAAAACACAGAGCAATAGTATTTGTTTCAACTGCCCTATCTCCATTGCCATCTGGGCAGCGACCACCTCTAGCGTTGCAATCTACAGGTGAGTTTAAAAAGAAGAAGAATAAGGATTCTAAGTCCCTTTCAAACAAAAAAACAAAGACGTTATAGTCCTTATGCAACTCAGGGGGCGCATCATGATGTTCTAGATGACTCAAAGTTGTTGAAGACACCGATTCAGGTGGTGGCGGAAGCAAGCGGGGGCTTTGGTAACCAGCCCTAATAAGTCACCGATTTACATATAAAGCTTATATGATGGAACTGTTAGGGGTTACGCACACCTTTGGTAGTCCAGACACTACTAGCCTTGGTGGCTCAAGAAAAGCTCGACATTCTTTTTCTGATGGACACTAAGAACTCAAGAACAAATGATTCTGAGATTAAAGAGGAGACTTCAGTTTCAGGGCTGTTTTGTAGTGAATCAAATGGGAATAGCGAGGGGATAGGCAATCTTTTGGAATGAAAGAGGTTTCCTTAACCGTGAAGTCCTTTTCTGAATATTTTATAGATGGTAGCGCGTGGTTGAGGACAAAAAGGCAAATAGGAGTCACTTTTTTCGTGCCCGATCCATGTCTCAACAAAGGGTGTTATTATGGGACCAACTGCATAATGTTAGTCTCTCCAATTACTAATGTGGGTATGTATGGGTGATATTGCTAAGATTCTTTATCATTGAAGAAGGTAGGGAAACGGATGGCTGGAAATTATCAACTCAATGCGTTTAGGGATTTCCTAAGATCCCTAAAACTCTAGTGCCTTGATAGATATAAAAAGTAAGGATTGTGCTTTTACACGGGCAAATAATAGGGATGGGGAAGCTTTTGTTAAAGAGAGATTGAATAGTCTTATGCATTATGAATCGGAGAATCATTTTCTTGAGGCGGAAGCTATTGCACTACTAACTATTGGGTCAGACCATAGTTCCATTATGCTGGCGCTCTCTCCAGAGTTAGTTAAAGAGGAAAAAGGAATTCATATTTGAGACTTATTGGCTAGAAGATGAAGAAAAGTCTCAAATATGAAGAAATATGGATAGCTTGTCAAGAATACTTGGCACTCTCTAGAATTGGAGAGTATGGACTTATCAAAAGGAGTACTCGCGGTTACAAAAGTCTTATCATCTTGGAGTAAGAAATTTTTTTTCAAACGCACAAAAAGAGATTATTTCTGGCAAAAGGACACTATAAGTGCCATAAGTTGTGTACGGAGATCACTTTGGTGCCATAACTTTTTTTCGGATCACTTTGGTGCCAAGTCGGAGGAAAAGAGATCACTTTAGTGACTCCGGCCAAAATTCCGGCCAAAAAAAGAGTCACGTCGGATTTCCGGCGAACCACGTCAGATTTCCGGCAAGCCGTGTCAGTATCGGATATTAATAAAAAAAGAGCCACGTCAGATTTCCGACGGCCATATCAGCATTGGCACTAAAGTGATCGTTTTTCAAAAAAGTTGGCACCAAAGTGATCCGAAAAAAAGTTATGACACCAAAGTGATCTCCGTACACAACTTATGGCACTTATAGTGTCATTTTTCTGATTATTTCTATGAAAAGGGAGTTGTAGGTGATTACTAATTCCCCAGCCATAACCTACGACAGAGATAGAGTGCAGCACCTAAAAAAGCAGATGGAGAAGAGATGGAGGCAGGAGGAGATATACAGGAGGATGGGATTTAGAATTAAAGGTGGGGAAGATAAAACATCAAATACTTCTATGCCACCACAATTCAGAGAAGATAGTGGAACAAGATTTCCCTGCTAAGGGACTCAAGTGGGGAATGAGTCCGAGACTGAAAGTAGTCGAAACAGCAGGCAATGCATTTCTTCAGAGAATTGTATAGTTCTGTCGGCCTCAAGACAATTTCATCCTATTTTGGAGTGTTGTGCTCCTCTAGTTGGGGAGGCTTTTGACAGCAAAAGTCACTCTAAGAAGACATTGCAGAGATGAATCAGAAGGCTTTACCATCCCCATGAAAGGCGAGTCCCCTTTCCTGCTTTCCAAAAATCACAATTTGGGAAATAGAGGCCCTAGAGTACCCGACTCCATAAAGAGGATGGGGATTGGGTCATACACGTGGAGCTTGTTCTCCCTGCATTGCCTTGTTAAAAGTCAAAAAATCTCTAAACCCTAATATGCCAATATTCTTTCTAAGTTTTAGCACATCTCATTTTATTTATAAGTTTCTCTTAATCTCTCCAAATATTGAGAAATTCGTAAAATTAGTGCATTACTTAACAAAATTATTTTTGTTTCTCCTGTGCGCCCTTATTTTATATTTTTTTTTTGAAAAAAGGCTTCGGATAATATTTACATCATAATGCATTTTTTTCATTTCTTTACCCTCATTAGCATGCAAACAACATCTCAATCCATTCCAATCATTTCTCTTATTTATTCTCATAATGATCTAAATCCCATCTTTTCTTTCATTATTGCTTCATCCAAATTGAGTGCCAAGAGTAATCATAATAATCAAATCTTCAAAGACAAAAACAGAAATAGATGGCACGCATTAAACTCATAGCACAATCAGATTCACTCCCATAGCACGGCCTAATTCCGAAAAAAAGCACCAACTTTAGGTTGAGTGATAAATCCGACCTCAACTTTTTTTTGTCTCGTAAAAAAACACCAATTTTAGGTCGAGTGACAATTCTGGCCCCAACTTTTTTTGTCTCATAAAAAATCACTAACTTTCACTTAAATCCCAAATTTGACCCCCTTGACTTAGAACCATTGATTATCCAACTTGACATTCCACATCAGTAATAAATCCATGTGGCTTGCTGACTGGATTTAAAGCATTATTCATTGTCTTCTTCTCTGAGCCACAACTTGAAGAATAATGGTGAAATTGTTAATCTCATTCACTTCACTGGCAAGTCAAAAAGATTTCCAGATTGAATCTCTCTAGTCATACTTCGTCATTTTGTCATAATTTGAAGTTGTAAACCACCGCCCGTCGACAGACGCCATGGACGAGATCTGTCAAGCTCACGACCATAATTTTTTTTTTCAAGTAAGGGTGACTTCAGACAGAAAGTCAACGGGAGGTCAGATTTGGAATAAGAGTGAAAGTTGGTGATTTTGTATAAGACAAAAAAAGTTGAGGCCAGAATTTTCACTCGACCTAAAGTTGATACTTTTTTACGAGACAAAAAAAATTTAAATTAAAATTATCACTCGACCTAAAGTTTGTGCTTTTTTTTTTAATTAGTCTCTAGAGCACCTAATGGATCCCCCCTGGAATTCTACGTGGAAAGTAACATTATAGAAAAAAAAAAGCGTTTGAAAAGAAAAAGAAAAAATTGATGGAGAAAGGCCAAGGGAACGAAAAGCAGAGGCCTCAATCACCACACATTTTGGTCAGCACCACCACCCACAAAGCTGGCACCTTCATATTACGGTGGAGGTCCAAACCGTCCAATCCTCGGCGTGACCCTTGATCTTTGGCGCGTCAAAGTTGCCATCTTTACCGACCTTTTGGGTCAATCTTCAGTTAACATCACTCAATTTCAAACCTCGTTTCAGGAAAATTCGCAGCGTTTGTTTCGTCGACGGAACTTACATCTGAAGCCTCGTCTGTTTTCTCTCTGAATTGGTTCGTTAGGACTCCCTCTCGAGTCTCTTACGTCTCTCTGTTTCGTCAGTTCCTCTCTTTTGGGCCGATACAGATTGGTGTGGTTTCTGGGTGTTGAGCTTGAGCAGGGCTATTGATGTTATCAATCCATAAACAGCAGAGAAATTGGTGAAAAAAAAAATGGGATCTTTTTCTTTCACAAGTCCTCTCCACTCCATGCAGCTTTTTGGGCTTGCCTCGTTTTCTGACAAAAACCATGAATTGCCCCGTACTTACCTCGCCACTTATCGCTGCAATAGAAGGTCTTTCGATTTTCCTGGCGGTAATCTCTCGAGAAGAAGATATCGCCAATCTGTCCCAGTTGCAGCTGTGGGAGCAAGTGTGACAAACTCTGTACCTGGAAGTGTGGTTAGATTCATCCCTTCTTTCTTTTCATTTTTTTAATTTCTGCGCTATACTTTTTGGAGATTTATTGTCGACCTGCTTTGTGTTATCACTATGGAGCGAACGGAGATGTCGCATGAACTGATGGTATTCATGCACTTGCTTTATTAATTCTTTTGATTAACCCTTCGGAGAAACTGTCATAGGATGTGTTTTCTTTAATGGTGGAGAGAAGGGTGGTTTGTATCTGTTAAGTCTTGACTGTTTTTACTTTTAGATTATCTTCACACTAAAAGGGATATATGTTAACAACGGTGGTTCGGTTTCCTGGTTACAGCCGAGGAATGGGGCGTACACAGTTGGTGATTTTATGACAAGGAAAGAATATTTACATGTTGTGAAGGCCACAACAACTGTAGATGAAGGTATGTTTGAGCATTGCGTTTGTGTGGGTTGTCTTTTCGTGAATTTCATGTTGATTTACTGATACTTGTTACCAAACCATTACAGCTCTAGAGATGCTTGTGGAGAAGAGAATAACCGGCTTCCCCGTGATTGATGATGACTGGACTTTGGTAATTTTCAGTACCTCTTCGCCTTAACAAGCCTTATTAAGGACTTGTTTCTTAAACAATCTCAAATTGATGGATTTACTCAATTTTCACTCTCGTGGTTTGGTGACTATAGGTTAGAGTTCTGTCAGGCGATGTATTCCATTCATAGCTTGAGCTTAAGTGTTTCTGACGCCGTTTTCTTTAAATGACATAAGCTATCATCTGTCGTGATCTGATACCATTGTTTCTCTGCATATTGATATTCGAGCTACAGGGACAAGGCCGTGGGAATAGTCTGCAGTAATTCCTTTTTTAGCTCATCTTCATAGAATGACCCCTTGAGACAGACAATCTTTCACTTTATTGATGTGGGATAAACTTTGTTTAGTCGGTGACTTTTGTGCTAATCTTCTAGCCTTGATAACCCTGCACAATGCAAACAGAGGATTATCTCCAACTTTTATGTGTTAATTATGTTTACTAAGAGCCTTACTTAGATGGAAAAGGAGGTTCATACAACTTCAGTTACGCTGTTGGTGTCTACTTCTAGCGTGGATGATCTGTACTTGCAATTACTAAATTATCTCACCATTAAGACTACGAAATCTTGTTTGTCATTTTGCGTCATTTGGATCCCTATTTAATTTATCTTAACTCAAGAATCCTAATGATTTACATTCTCCATGACACTGAACAAAGATAATCTGTGGCAGGTTGGTGTTGTTTCAGATTATGACCTTTTGGCACTTGATTCTATATCAGGTACTGTACATTGCATGGATGACTCCGTATAAAATTTCCATTTGTGCTTAGGATATTTTGCTTACACCATGATTCCCTAACAGGTAAAGTGCGAGTTAAGAAAGCCTACTAACTCATCATATGAAAAACCTCTTAAAACAACTCAGCTTTCTTTTGATTCTTTCTTTTGACTTTATGATTCAAGTATGTGGCACACTTCCATCGTTGGTGTGATACCTTAACCATTTCGGTGTAAATGATCATTATAGTTAATTTTCCCTCTCTTTTCATTGAATCACGCAAATCTTTGCCCAACTCTCTCCTATATATTATAAAAGAGAAAAGAGAGATATGCTTCTTTTGGTTGTAAGCAAATCTGACATTTCCATTCTGGTGCTAGAATGTAGCTGGTCGTTTCTTGTAAATCATTGAGTTTTTCAGCCTACGACCTTATGCTCGATTGTTTTATCAGGCTTCCATAGCACTAGTAATCTACTATAGTACATCTTTTAGTGATTATCCTTCTTCTGTAAACCAGGTGGCAGTCAAGGGGATGCAAACATTTTCCCTGACGTCGATAGTTCTTGGAAGGTATGTTGGAAGTCTTCCATTCTATTATTTTCTTGGCTATTTATTGCTTAATCTGTTTGCCGTTCCATGGGAATCTAAATTTGCATATTGCCATTTGTTCTTCCACTGGTTCGGGCTATCCAAGCAGGCTTTCAATAGGATACAGCGATTGCTAAGTAAGACTCATGGCAAAGTTGTCGGTGACTTGATGACACCCGCACCACTTGTTGTTCGGGAAACTACCAATTTGGAAGATGCTGCCAGGTATTGCTTTTGTCTTAGTAATGCTAGATGTCTATTTAGGATTTCAATGAACTTAGTTTCTTAAATTTGTTCATATGAACCCCTTAAGTGCTAGTAATTGGAGGATGAAAGGACCGAACTCTTTGTTTCTCAAACTTGTTCATTTGTTGCAATAATCGTACACTCCTAAAGTGCTCATTGTTTGGGGTGAAAGAGCTAAACACCTTTTTTTTTGAACTCGCTCACATGAAAATTTTTATGCTCCTAAACTGTTCATAATTTGAGGATGAAATGACTGAACACTTCCGTTTCCCAAACTTTTCCATATGAACATATATGTTCTCCTTAAGTGCTCTTGATTTGAGGATGATAGAACTCTAACATGAGCCCCTTTGCTTTTTTATCAGTCACTGGGAGTACGGGTAAACTTTAAACATTTTCTGTGACAGTCGGTTGTTCTCTGTTGCTCATTTGTTCTCAATGCAGATATTTTAGTCCGTACCTTGCATTAAGTCAAGTTTCCTTTGAGATTAAATGTTATCCAAATTATGCTTATGAAGTAATAATGCTATTGAAATGCATGCAGAGTCTGCTTTGAAAGCTTTTTGTCGAATAAAGTTGGGGCCATACGTTGCATTAAGACAAGTTTCCTTTGAGATTAAATGTTATCCAAATTATGCTTATGAAGTAATAATGCTATTGAAATGCATGCAGAGTCTGCTTTGAAAGCTTTTTGTCGAATAAAGTTGGGGCCATCGTTAACGTTGGGTTGCAATAATAGGTTATTACTGAAATTGAAATACCGTCGATATTTTAGTCTGTACCTTGTCTTAAGACCAGTTTCCTTCAAGATCAAGTGTTATCCAAATTATGCTTATGAAGTGATAATGCTATTGAAATGCACGCAGAGTCTGCTTTGAAATTTTTTTGTGTAACAAAGTCGGGGCCATCATTAACGTTGGGTTACAATGATAGGTTATTGCTGGAAACGAAATACCGCCGATTGCCTGTGGTAGATGGCAATGGCAAATTGGTGAGTTAATTCTTTCTGGATACTTTGGATGTCTGCGTAGTGTTTCCTATTCATGGATGATTTTCCTATGTTTCAGATTGGAATCATAACAAGGGGAAATGTGGTCAGAGCTGCCCTGCAGATGAAGCACGCGAACAAGCATTCTTCTTGATATTCAGTAAATAAAGCATTACATACTATTGCAGAAATAGGAACTTTTTTTTGTCCGACCCGATTCTAGCAGATGAGAAGGGTGCGGGAGTACACACGAATTCTTGCCCATGCGAAACAGGCAAAGTATCGATGAGAGTTGATTGTTTGTCATCCAAACTATTGGAAAATTTTCCAGGACATGGCATAACAGAAACAGTGCACCTGTTATGTCCTGTTAATTTTTTATAGGATTGGATCTTATTGATACAGCAGGTAAATCTAGGATCAAGTCAGCTGTGATCCGTTGCCGAATTATTGTCCCAGGCTTTCTCGTACTTAAAATGCTGTATGATACTTGAGCGAAAATATTCGCTGACGAAGCATACTAGAACTGATGGACATTATTCTCTTGTTCTGTTTGTTAGATACTGATTCTCATTTTGTATGGCCATGGCTTCTTTTGTGCTTTATATGATTCTGTGCGAGGGTATCAGAGCACGATGGTGTCAGATACCTTGCTTCTTTGATTTACCATTAGGAATTCATCGTATCCATGGCTTTTCAGCTCCAACCGGCAAGACTAGGGAAAAGTACCAAAAAAGTCATAAACATATTGTATCGATACCAATTCAGTCACAAACCTTTCAATCGGATCAATTTAGTCTTAAACCTTTTTTGTATGGGTACCAAATCAGTCTATCCGGCCAATATAAGCTGGAATCACTGACGTGAATGCCGGCTGTCCTACGTGGCATGGCTAGTGAACAGCCAGCGTTGACGCGAACATTTTAAAGAATATTTATATAAATTTTTAAATTTTTTAATTTTTTTAAAAAAATTCCCTTTTTTCTGTTTTTTTTTTCCTTCTCTTTAGTCAAGTATTGGCCATGGGCCAAAGAAGAAAGAGAAGGAAAAAGGGATTTTAAAAAAATTATTAAAATATCATTAAAAATGTCTACGTCAGCGCCGGCCGTTTATCCGTCGCCCATGCCACGTGGGACGGTTGAGCCCACGTCAGCGTTTTCCAGCCTAAATTGGTCGGATAGACTAAATCGGTACTAATGTGAAAATGTTTATGACTAAATTGATCCAATTAAAAAGTTTTGAACTAAATTGGTACCAATATAATAGAGTTTAGGAATTTTTTGGTACTTTTCCCGGTAAGATTATGACACAGACCTTCGATCATGTGAAGCCACACGAGCAAGGAGAAAAAATACAGTTCCAGTGGGCTTGACGGCTTCACATGTGGAAAAACAACTTGACTTGGTGAGTTACAGGGTCCAAAACCTGATAGCAAACTACCTTTGAAATTGGCAACTGATGTGAAAATCCTATCATCATGGATTGAAAAATCACAAATCATGTTTGAAAAATTTGCTGACTCCGGTTCGCACTTTGGGGACGCATCTCCAAGTAGACAATTTTACAAATTCGTGATTCCTCAAAACTGTTTAGAAAATGACCAACAAAACAACGAAAGTCAATAGTTCGAAATTTATCCACGTCAGCGTCAGTAGCTGGTCACTGGAAAGAGGTAGAAGAAAGGGAAAAATAGAAAAGAAAAGAAGGACAAAAGAAAAAAAAAACTAGAGAAAATAATTAAAAAATTGAAAGATATTTATTAAAAACTGTTCACGTCAGCGCCGGCGATGCCACATAGGCCGGCCGGCGTCCACATCAGTAATATTCGGCCATAATTATCCATAAGGATTGAATCGGCACAAAGACAAAAAGTTTAGAATTAAAGTGGCACCGATGCAATAGATTTATAACTTTTTTAACACTTTTCCCTATGAAAAACTACCATTATCATCCTTGAAATGATCAGTCGTATCTAAAAAAAAAAAAGGGATTATTGTTTACATTTTGGAGAGAGACTTACTTCCAAGTAGATGAATTTATATACTCATGATGTACTAATGCTTCATAAAGTTACTTACTTGAAATTATAGATACGTATGAAAATGTAGCTAATACGTATAAGATTACCATCACCATTTAAACATTATCGGTCCTATCCTCATTTTTCTTTCCATTATAGTTCATATTTTTAGGACATATGCCTAACTGAACGGCTTAAAAAAATTAACGATTTGCTAATTATTTGAAAAGTCACGAGCCTAAAATTGATAACTATCAAGTCAAGTTGAAATTACTGACACATATGATAAAAAAAACTGACCGAAGAACAAGAACAAATATTGTCATAATCTGAAATTTACAAGTCATATTCGAAAAATTCATCATACCGGCTCAAAAAACCTAAAACATTATAACCTAATTTTAGGGAAAATTATCCAAAAAGTCCTTAGGGAAAATTCTAAATAAGGATATGAAGTACTTTCATTTTCTCTAATAAAGGCTTAAAGTGAATTTTGTGTCAAATAAAGGCCTGAAGTGGCATATCAGTTTGAAATAAAGACCTGAAGTGGCCATATTAGTCCCAAATAAGGCTTTGACCTTGTCGGAGCTTGCCGGTCACCGATCGACGAAATATTCCAACCGATCAGGGGCATTTTCGTCCAAAAATGATTTTAATTTTAATTTTTTTTATTTTTTTTTCCTTATTTCTTTTTCTTTCTTTTCTTTTGTCCTTTTTTTGGTTTTCTCTTTGTTCTTCGCCGGTGGTTGGTCTTCGCCAGTGGCTGGCCAACCACCGGCGAAGCCTAAGAAGAGCTGCGCAAGGGTGACCTCGTTGGCAGCTGTGAGGCGACCCTCACCTGTTGCAGGCGAGGGTGCCCCTCGCTAGATCGGGCTGGGTGAGGGTCGCCCAGCCCTTCCCGGGCTTCAGCCATCGGCGAAGAACACAAAGAAAACTAGAAAAAGAGAGAAAAAAGGAAAAAAGAAAAAAGAAAAGAAAGGAAAAAAATTCAAAAAAGTAAAAAAGACGAAAATGCCCTCATCATCCAGTACGAGGCCCTTTTTTGAAACAGACATAGCTACTTCAGGCCTTTATTTGAAACAAAATCCACTTCAGACCCTTATTTGAGAAAATGATGGCACTTCATGTCCTTATTTGGAATTTTCCCAAATCCTTAACTTATTGTACTTTTGCTAATTGCGTTCTTAACTTTTTCATTTTTTACCAATTGAGTCCATTCGGTCAATTTTGACCGGAAATCGCCAATGTATACACTAGCCATCTCACGTGAATAAATTTTAATATTTTTTTTTATAATTTATTCTTTTCTTTTTCATTTTTTTTATTTCTCCTCCTTTTTTTTTCCCTTCTTCCTCTAGTTGGTCATCGCTCGATTGAGAGGTTGACCTAGCTGGTTGTCTTAGGTGGCACCATTGGTACCGATATTGACATTTTTAATAATATTTTAATATTTTCAATATTTTTCCTTTTTTTTTCTTCCCTTTTACCTTTATTCGATCTCTAGTGGCTGAGCAGGGGGTTTTAGAAGAAAGCGTAAGCCTCCTCAAATAAAGATGTCTCTGACACGACTCCCCCAACTTGAAGATGGAAGTCCTCTTTCGTTTCTGGACGGTGAAGTAAGACCAAGCTCATGAACTTATTATCCTAGGTCGAAACAAGTTGATAGGATCCCCTTTTTGACGTCCCTATCCCCTCCCATGTGATGGTTAGCCACGCCAAACAATGAGGAGGTCCATCCTCGCTATTGGTAAGTCGAGCCTTGCCCATCCATGACAAGGTAAGCCAAAATCGATCGAATAAATTCAATTAGCAAAACTTGAAAAAGGCTTAGGATTCATTCGACAGTTTAAAATTGAATCGGCGATAGAAAATGCGATTGGGTGTAAGACTTTTCCGACAATTTTCTCATTTATTTCGCCGGGTTAATCTGCGAAAACCCTAACTGATGCAACATAATGATTCTGCAACTATTTTTTTGACCATAAAAAATCCTAAATTGGTACATCTATGATAATTTTACCCGAACTATTTTTTCCCCAAAATCCAACCGGTATATCTGTGACAATTTACCCCGAACTAATTTTTAATATTATTTTTATTTTTTCGAATTTTTTAGTTTTTCTTATCTTTTCTTTTTCCTTTCCTTTTCTTTTTTTTTCCTTCATTTTTAACCTTTGGCCGACGAGGTCGGCCCCACAGGCCAACGGCGAGGTCGACCTTGCCGGCAACTGGCGAGGTTGGCCTTGCCCGCAACTGGCGAGGTTCGACCTCGCCAGTTGCCGGCGAGGACGACCCTGATCGGCGATCGGCCAGAGGTTGAAGATGAAGGAAAAAAAAGAAAAAGAAAGGAAAAAGAAAAGAAAAGAAAACTAAAATAATTTGGGATAAATCTATCACAAATATATCAGTTTAGAATTTTTTGTGGTATTAATCCTATTTCGCCCCCCGCACGCATTTGATTACGACAGAGCGTTGTCAGCGAGGCTGTAAGACAACACTCGGCAGGAAACCCAAGAACATTTTTTTTCTTTTCTAAAAAGGAAACCCAAGAACTTGGTCTTCCCGAAACGTCGTGATCCAAGCCGCTGACGTCACCGCCATAGTCAGCAAAGCTATAAGAAGTAGCTGCGTCGACGTCGGCCCCACGTGGTGGTCGGCCCGCTTTTGCAGAATCAGAGGATGTGAATGCTGTCTGGCCATTCAGACCAAAAGAGAAAAAAATAAGAATGCTGTCTGGCCACGGGAAAAGAATCCAAAGGAGGCGACGTCACAGTGCCCGTCACCACCGACGTGACGTTTCGGGCATGCTGCCCGTCGTTTCGTTCGCTTTTATTATTTTATGATTGTGACGGGGATGATTGAGGAAGGAAAGACCGAAGGGCCTCCTCGCGATTATTGGGTGTCAGGCGTCGTGCCGAAAACAACGTGAATGTGAATGTGAACTTGAATGTGTGAACGAGCGTCGAAAGTCATTCGAAATCGTTCTTCGTTTTTGGGGCCACGTGCCCGGCCGCAATCGGCTTTTGTACCCTCCCGGTTCCACGTATGGTTCGGCGCTTTGAAATACCGCCGAATTGCTTTGCAATTTTTGTTCTAAGGATGTTGGATGGTGTGGTTGTAGGCTATATAGATCCATAGATGGGAAAATGATATAAATAATCTATGAATTTTGACCTAATATGTAATGTGATTCCTGAACTGTAACTAAATATTCAATATAGTCTATTGACTTTTGATACATGTTCAAGTTAGTCCATGAACTATATGAAAATGTTTAATGTTGTCCTTGAATTTGAATTGATTAAATATTTTCATATAGTTTGGGGACTGAGTTGAACGTGCATCGAAAGTCGAAGGACCACATTGAACGAATTAAAAGTTCATAGATCACATTGGGCTAAAATTGAGGGACTGTATTGAACAGATTAAAAGTTTAAATATCACATTGCACATTAAGGCAAAATTCAAGGATAATTTGTGTCATTATCTTATCCATAAAAGAATGCTAAGTGTGTTTCCGGGACATCTGTTAAGTGATCAGATGGAAAAAAAAAGTTCGCCGTGGTATTTGTGAGTAGATTTCTGTCGTGGCATGTGTGCGAGCGATTGTAATGTAAAATAGTTAGTAAATATTGGTATGGCTTTTGTTAACGTGACGAGGAATTGGGTTTTGCTGATGATTAGTTCAAAATGTCCGTTGGGCAACTAGTCGAGCGAGTCGTTGAGTTCAGGGATACTAATTTTTTGATTTTAGGTATATTGAAGCTTGGAGAACTTGATATTCTTTTTATCGAAGTTGGTTAACTGCAGTCATGAAGCACTTAAATGAAGAAGGTTCGTTATTTTCAAAAAATCATTTTCTCACGTTTACATGGGAGACAAAATAATTTCTTATTAAGTAAAAAAATCAGTGCAATAAGAATACTCGTTGTTAAGATTCTTTTTTATTATTTAAAAAGCCACCAAAACCCAAACTGTGCACACTCTAACACATTTTTCTTAAAATTTTTCTTGTGACATAAAAAAACCAAAAACTTATATCTATCCGATACAATTACCGTCCGTCAATATTTTGTTAGATGATTTTTCGGCCATAATAACGTCGTTAATCACGTGGACATCATGTCAATACTGTTAACTTTCCGCATCCATATAAACATATATTTTTGTGTCACACTGATACAAGTTACAATTACCCCATCAATGTTTTGTCAAATGGTTTTTCAGCCATAATAACGTCGTTAATCACGTGGATGCCATGTCAATACTATTAACTTTCCACATCCATATAAACATTTTTTTTTGTGTCACACTGATACAAGTCACAATTACCCTCCGTCAATGTTTTGTCATATGATTTTTCAGTCATAATAACGTTGTTAACTACGTAGACGCCATGTCATTACTGTTGGCTTTCCGTATCCATATAAACATATTTTTTGTAACATATTGATACAAGTTTGGGATTTTTGATGTCACAAAAAAAAATTTAAGATAAATGTGCCACGACATGTATAATTTGGATTTTTGGTGGCTTTGTTCCTGCTGTTTCCATTGAGATGATGACCCTTAAAAAATTTTGAGTATGCGCATTTAAAAAGAGAAAAAAGGAAATGAAAAAGAAAAATCTGATTCTCTCCCACAACGTGCCTATAAAGATGGAGCATCAGACGTTCCCTCTCAAGCACAAGTTGCTTAAACCATCCTACATCCTCTCTCTCTCTCTCTCTCTCCGGTGCATTCATCAATGGCGGACGAAGTGGAGATGTTCTTCTTCCCTTTCATGGGAGGAGGCCACCAGATCCCCATGATCGACATCGCCCGCCTCTTCGCCTCCCACGGTGTCCGGTCCACCATCATCGCCACCCCTGACAACGCCCTCTCCTTCCAGCGGTCCATTGCCCGCGACCGGGACTCGGGCCGGCCCATCTCCATCCACCCCCTCGAGCTGCCCCAGGGCTCCGAGCAGCCCGACTCTGACATGTCCGCCGCCCCCTTCACCGACACCTCCATGCTCCAGGAACCCCTCACGCTCTTGCTCATTGCCAGGCCACCCGACTGCATCGTCGTCGACACGTTCCACCGCTGGTCGGCCGACGTCATCGACGCGACAGGAGTTCCTAGGATCGTGTTCAATGGGAACGGATGCTTCTCTCGGTGTGCTCAAGAGTTGATGCGGACTTACAAGCCTCACGACATGGTGCAATCCGAATACGACCCGTTCGAGATCCCAGGCCTGCCAGATAGGATCGTGATGACGAGGTCGCAGCTTCCGCATTTTCACAAGCAGAAAGTTGGCGGGAAGCCGCATGGTCGGATGTCAAATTCGGAGGACAAGAGTCTTGGGGTTGTGGTAAATAGCTTTCTTGAGCTGGAACCGGCTTATGTGGAGTATTTCAAGAAGGAGATGGTGAAGAAAGCTTGGGTGGTCGGACCAGTGTCGCTGTGCAATAGGAATGTGGCGGATAAGGCCGAGAGAGGGCAACAAGCTGCTATTGATGAGCACAGTTGCTTGAGTTGGCTCAATGCTAAAGAACCCAACTCCGTTCTTTACGTTAGTTTTGGGAGTTTGGCCAGGTTGGCCCCGGAACAGCTCCTTGAGATTGCATATGGTCTCGAGGCTTCGAGCTGTTCGTTCATTTGGGCGGTTGGCAAAATCTTCGAGTCATTGGAAAATGGACAGAGAGGCCGAGAGAATTGGCTTCCGAGTGGGTTTGAAGAGAGATTGAAGAGGTCCAAGAGGGGGTTGATTATCAGAGGATGGGCGCCGCAGCTGTTGATTCTTGAACACCCTTCAGTGGGTGCGTACATGACGCACTGTGGGTGGAACTCGACTCTGGAGGGTGTGAGCGCTGGCCTTCCGATGGTCACTTTCCCACACTCGGCTGAGCAGTTTTTCAATGAGAAGTTGATCACTGATGTGTTGAGGATTGGGGTCCAGGTTGGGAGCATGGAGTGGGCATCTTGGAACACCAAGCCGGGCCCGCCAGTGGGGAGGGAGAAAGTGGAGGCGGCCGTGAGGAAATTGATGGATGGAGGAGAGGAGGCAGCGGAGATGAGGAGAAGAGCCAAAGATCTTGGAGAGAAGGCCAAGAGAGCGGTCGAAGAAGGCGGGTCATCGTACGAAGATGCCGAGGCCTTGATTCAAGAGCTCATGTCTCGCAAAAAAGTAAGTACGAAGCGATCGAGTCGGTAAGACATTATCTCTGTGTACAACAACATGATCTTAGCGTTACGTGAACAGCAAGGAGAGTTCAAAAGGACGTAGGAACGCTGTCTGTGACGTCGTGTGCTAAATGAACAGCTCAATTTAAACTGTGCAGTTTCAAATTTGTAGTCACCGGCTCCAAAGTAAGGAGAAGAGAATCGCTTCTATGTATTCAATGGCTGCAGGAGACGGATTGTATATTAATCACTCCAGAAGTCTTTGTTATATTAGACTTGCAAAGACGGATGAAAATGAATTGGCGCCACTAGCAATTCTTACAATTTAATAATCTTACTAATAAAAGAAGAGTACTACTCAGCAAGATTTCGTATGTTATTGGACTTGGAAGTGACTACCAAAATCATGCTGGTACCTCCACCAAGGATCAGGGTAGACGGATGCGGATTGCAGATGACTTTGGCTTGGAGGCATATGTCATTGGAGAAGCTCCAGGTGTCCCAGATCAGAGAAGACAGATGAGCAGGGAAAAGCTAACCGCGAATCACCATCCTGGTTAGCCTAGTCTTATCTTCTGAGTAAAACTCGAACACTTATCGCCATTTCTGTGACGTAAGAGACTATGTATCTATGATAGTGATATTTTTGTCATAACTGGCCAATCCGGTCGCAAAGCAGCATGGACCTCTCTGTTGGGGTATGTTTAGTTTGCAGTCAGACAACTTTCTTGTCATCAAGCTTGAATAAAAATTGTTTTGTAGTTGAAGCGGCAGTTTATGTTTCTAATGCTTCCATACACGAGTACGAGAACATGTGAAGTCTGGACTCTGGCTTGCAGATACAGCTTTGCTTATCCTCTGGATATGTTTGTCCTCCTATCTGGGCTATCCATAACCTTGCGGTGCTCATCTAATATCATTGTGCATGGATAGACATGAGGAATCATTTATCTTGGTCATCCTCGAGAAACTCTCTTCACAGCCGAACGAAACCTTAGATTAATCTCTTCCTCCCGTCTTTTCGCAGGTGTTAGATCAGCCCATCCGAAAATCGCTATGGGTAATGATATTGATCAACTTCACATCTTCTTCCTGCCACTCATGATGGCTTATATGGCCACATAATACCGACCATAGACATGGCCAAACCTCAGCCACGTGACCATCGGCACACCGGCACATGCTCCTTCTACTATCAAGTTCCTTCTGCAGTGAGTCACGTATCCACCAACCAACTCGTGATCCGGAATCAACACCTGGGGCGCCCACCCTCTTATGATTAGGCCCTTCCCATCCATTTTTTCTTCGAAACCTTCTGGTAACCAATCTTTTTCTTCAATTTTGATCATTTTTAACTATCCATATGAAAATCTTATTGAGAAGCCTCAAGCCACTTCGTGATTTCCACCAGCTGTTGAGAACTGAATTTTGTCAAGCTGCCGAAACACGAGTAGATAACTGAGTTGGGCCTTTTCGAATATGGCCATCTTAAGCATTCATGCCTGCTGATGGATGCTTCCTTACCCCTCAGTGCCTTATCTACGGTATCTCTATTGCAGAGTGAGACCGGACCGATATGCCACGCCTTCCTTCCCAAGACATTCCTGTAATAATTGGCATGATCCTTTTCAAGTTTGTAGAAGGTGTTAAAATGCTTCCATAGCTCTTTAGCTCTGATTCGACCATTTCTTTTGCTAACTTGGAAAACTTTGTTTCAACTTCTTGTCTTAAATATTCTGCCAGCTGAGTCCTTGTCAGCTTTATTTCTCCAGGGAGGTGAGGCACAAGGAAAGTTTCTGAATCAGACGAAACTCTCTTGTGTGGTTGATATAGTGAGATAAGTCCCCCGCAGCACATAGCAAAGAAACTTGTCCCTCCAAAGGCTAGCCTGGGAATTTTCAACCGAGCAGCAGCGTCAGTAGCCCATGGAAAGAACAAATCTGCTGCCAGAGAATCCGGTCTATGTTCTTTCAGGATATGCAAGATCGGTATTTTGAGAACCCATTTATTTATTAAATAAATTGAAAATGGATTCATTTTAGAACCCGTTTAGACCCATTTATTGTGGGCATTTTCTTTTAGAACCCATTATGGTTAGGCCCTCTAAATATGAAGTGGCCTACATATGACCATTTCAACATATTTGGATTAATAATTGGAGGAGAGATCCATTTTGACAAGTCTATGGGACAATCATTGAAAGAGGTAATTCACTTACTTGTGGAGTTCTGCAGAGGCGTCATGCATGACCAATTGCACAAGATGGGGCCTCCCGTCAGAATTGGCTACGGGACCTTCAATTTGGAAGGTTCCTTACTTTCTGTGCATGCAAAAACTCACTTTGGATGTGGTCAATGAAGCTTTTGTACTAAAGTGGTGTTTATAAAGTTTTTGGAACTAAATTGATCATTTTGTAAAATTTTTGCACTAAAATTTATAAAGTTATATATTTGACGAAAGAGCGACACGACGGGAACCGAAAGCAAAAATCATACATCGCTAGCCCATGGAAAGAACAAATCTGCTACCAAAGAATCCGGTCTATGTTCTCCCAGGATATATGCAATATGGGTTCCCGGAGCAAGCTCAGGGCCTTCCAGAATTTATCCAACAATTCTGCTTGATTTTGGCTCCGAGCGAATGCATCTGAATTACCGTAAGGACCGAAAGAATTACCTCTCGGTGTTTTCTCTAAAAATGTTGCCAACTGCCAAGTTATATACATCTCATCTCACAAGATCATGCAACAGCAAAATGTCATTAACTTGTGACGACTGAGGAGGTTGAGTTACCCGCCCCTTACAGGGCGTAAGAGTTGAAACCCACTTCTAAAACAACAAGTCCCCACCCCTAGTCCCCTGAGAAGATGGAGATTCGAACTCCCCATCCCCCTCTTCCCAAATATGAAAGGTTGCCACCGGGGCAAACCCCAGTGGTTATTGTCATCCTCTTCTTGTCTTTTTTATTTTTGTTTGTCTTTCTTTCCTTTCTCTGTCTGTTAATGTGCAATACAATATCATAGAATATGAACTTGCAAAGATCTCTCCGCCTGTTGTGTCTCCAGGACAGATTATTCAGAAAGGGAAAGTCACACAGGGCATCTTGCTCTTGAAATTGCAACTATGAGACTTAACTTCAATTTCTTCGCCACAAAAGAAATCAAGATCGCGTATACTTTGCCTATTACCTCAAAAGAAATTAACTCAAATCCTACACATTGAATGATCACAACATTCCGAAAATAAATCCCATGAAAAGAAACAGCAAATCCAGCTTTTTTCTCTACTGCTAAACCACAACATCAACTGAGAATAGAAGATTTCTATTTTTTCAGTTTTATTCTCTTGAAGCAAAAATTTAAGATTGATTGCTCCTGGTCATGAATCAGATCTTCTTATTGTGAGCCAATCTGTGCAGTCTGAGCTCTTTAATCAGAGCACCCAAATCAGACCAAGAAGACCCACCTTCTTCCACAGCCCCTCTCGCCATCTCTGCAAGCGCTTTCGCTCTCCTTCTCATTTCCTCTGCTTCCTCACCCACCAGGACTCTCTTCACTGCCTCCTCCACTCTCTCGCTCTTCACGCTGTCGCCGAACATGCTCACCCACTGCTTCACCCCAATGTTGACCCCGATCTTGAGCACTTGGGTCACGAGCTTCTCGTTGTAGAATTGCTCTGCCGCGACCGGCCACGTCACCATTGGCACGCCGGCCGTGACTGCCTCCAGGGTTGAGTTCCACCCGCAGTGCGTCACGAATCCCCCGATCGCCTCATGATCGAGAATCAGCACCTGAGGAGCCCAGCCCCTTATGATGAGGCCCTTGTTTCGGATTCTTGATTCGTATCCATCAGGCAACCACTCTTCTTTGCCTTCTTCCACATTCGGGGCCTTCTTCACCACCCAAATGAACTGTTGCCCTGATTCTTCTAGTCCGACAGCGATCTCGTGGAGCTGAGCAGCATTGAAATCCGCCATGCTTCCAAAGCAAATGTAGATCACTGAGTTGGGTTGCTTCGAGTCAAGCCACTGGAGGCACTCGTGCTGGTCAATGGATGCTTGGTTGCCCCTGTGTGCTTTGTCCTCAATCTCCTTATTGCACAGCGAGAACGGGCCGACAAACCAGGATCGTCTCCCGAGGAATGTCCTGTAATGCTCAGCGTAAACCGGCTCAAGCTCGTAGAAGCTGTTCATGATGACTCCGAAGCTCCTATTCTCCGATTCCTTCATCACGTTGTAGAACTTGGTGAACTCAGTCTCTTCCCTGACAAAGTCCGGCAACTGCATCCTGGACAATGTAATTTCTCCGGGGAAGTTGGGGATGTCGAAGGGCTCTGAATCGCAGGACACCTTTTTGTGAGGTTCATAGAGCCTCACGCATTCTGTGCCCGCCATGGAGAAGGCACTTGTCCCATGGAAAACGAGCCTAGGAATGCCGCACTTGGCCGCGATCTCGGTTGTCCAGGGGTAGAACATGTCCGAGATTAGACAATCGGGGGCAAGTTTCTCTATCAGCAGCTCGAGCTGTCGGTCCAGCATCATGACGGCACTCATGAATTGCTTGCGCATATCCATCATAGTGGCCTTGTTTATATTGTCACAGTCTTCTGGCAAGCCGACCTCTTTCAGGGGCAATGTCACCGTGACGACATCGATTTCGAAGCCCAAATCCTTGGGTTTCGCGACGGATTTCAAGAAGGTGGGCTCATCATTGGACATGGCGATGAGCGTGGACTTGCAGCCTCTCATGGCAAACATTTTAGCCATGTCGATCATCGGGATCATGTGGCCCCGAGCCATGAAAGGGAAGAAGAGAATGTGAAGCTGATGGCTTTCACTACCCATTTTGGCCTCTCAGGAGAATTTTCTGCTACAGGAACGTATTCTGGAATGATGGCTTTCACTACAGGAGCGTAGTGATGCTGTTCACTTTTGAAAGCTGAGGTTTGTTTAAAGACTTCAAACCTGGGACATATATATAAGAAGAGGTTTGGCTATGCAGAAAAGGGTGACGAGAGAAAGACAAGTTTGATTTCTCCTAGTCAAATATATTTTATATGGTGGCCAGAAAGATGAGGGGAATAGATATCGTCCTCTACATTACATAATCTCTTACGTAAAGCATGCAAGTTATAGGACAGTCATTGAAAAGAGGCAATTCACTTACTTGTTGATTTTCTGCAGAGACGTCATGCATGATCAACCGCACAAGATGGGGCCTCCCATCAGAATTGGCTACGGGACATCCAATTTGGAAGGTTCCCTACTTTCTGTGCATGCAAAAACTCACTTTGGATAATCACTACTTGGTCAATGAAGCTTTTGTACTAAAGTGGTGTTTATAAAGTTTTTGGAACTAAATTCGTCATTTTATAAAATTCTTGCTCTAAAAGTTATAAAATTAGATATTTGACGAAAGGGCGACGTGAACCGAAAGCACAAATCATAAAGTACATATTCTAACTATGCCATTATTTGTCTTTGTTTCGCTGGTCTCCAAAGCAAAATCACGGATCAAACATTCTCGCTAAATAATTTCATTTAGAATCACGAAAATTTATTTGTTTTCCTAAAAAGAAAGAGAAGTAAGTAAAATTTTCTGCACCTCCCATTTGTTTCTTTCTGTTTTGAGATTGAACAACAGAGCTACGGGTCTTGTGAAAATGGACTACTTCTCTTGATCAACTGTGAGGATCAATGTGAGGGAACATTTGGGAACAAATTTAACTACAAGTTCTCTAGCGGAAAATTCACGAATTCCGGGACGATG